TATAAGACCCGTCTTGTTGCCAAATGTTTTACTCAGAAAGATGACATTGATTATAAGGAAACATTTTTACATGTTTCTAAGAAAGATTCCTTTAGAATTATCATGGCATTAATAGCTCATTATGATCTTGAGTTGCATCAAATGGATGTTAAAACTGCTTTTCTGAATGGAGATTTAGAGGAGGATGTTTATATGAATCAACCAGTGGGGTTTATTGAAGAAGGAAATGAACATATGGTGTGTAAACTTAAGAAATCAATATATGGACTTAAACAAGTTTCTCGACAATGGTATCTTAAGTTCAATGATACTATTATGTCCTTTGGATTTAAGGAAAACACTGTTGATCGGTGTATATATCTGAAGGTCAGTGGGAGCAAGTTTATATTTCTGATTCTGTATGTTGATGATATCTTGCTTGCGACTAATGATCTTGGTCTATTAAGTGAGACTAAGAATTTTTTCTCTAACAACTTTGAAATGAAATATATGAGTGAGACATACTATGTGATAGGAATAAAAATATTTTGTGATAGATCACAAGGACTGTTAGGTTTGTCTCAGAAAGCATATATTAATAAAATTTTAGAGAGATTCAGAATGGAGAAGTGTTCAGCATCTCCCGTTCCAATACAGAAATGAGACAAATTTAGTCTCATGCAATGTCCAAAAAATGACTTGGAACGGAAACAAATGGAAAATATCTCTTATGCATTTGTTGTTGAGAGTTTGATATATTCTCAAACATGTACGAGGCCAGATATTAGCTTTGCAGTTGGTATGCTAGCTAATACCAGAGTAATCCTGGACTGGATCATTAGAAGGCTGCAAAGAAAGTTTTAAGATACTTACATGGAACAAAGAATCACATGCTTACTTATAAGAAAGTTGATCACCTTGAGGTGATTGAATATACAAATTCAGATTTTGCTGGTTGTATAGATACATGAAAGTTTACATTTATTTATGTGTATCTTTTAGCCAAAGGAGCGATTTCATAGAAAAGTGCGAAGCAGTCTGTCATTGCTGCATCCACCATGGAAGCTGAACTTGTGGCATGCTTTGAGGCCACAGTTCAAGTTAATTGGTTGCGGAATTTTATTTCAGGACTTGGAGTAGTCGACAACATTGCCAAGCCGCTGAAAATTTATTGTGACAATTCCACAGTAGTCTTCTTTTCTAAGAACGACAAGTATTCCAAAGGTGCTAAGCATATGGAATTGAAATACTTTGTCGTTAAAGAAGAAGTTCAAAAACGTAGAGTGTCAATAGAACATACTAGAACTGATCTTATGATTGCTGATCCTTTAACAAAGGGATTATTGCCCAAATTATTTGCTGGCCATATAATGAATGTGGGCATTATGTTCACTAGTGAATGTTGAATGTTAATGTTATTATTAATGCTTATGTGACACTCTGAGATCTTTAATGTATAAGTTTCTGAAATTTGTGTTTTCTTCTTTATTTATATGCATGCAAATTATAATGAAGAAAACAAATTATGTTATTATTATTAAAATGATATTATGTTTGAATCCATTATGGACTTCTCATTATAAAGTCATATTAAGGAGAAAAAGATAATATAGTGGTACATGGAAGGGAGTCTGTCGATTGAATAACATGTAACCGCCATGACTCTTGTTATAGTTATATCTTTAATTATGAATAATGATGGAACCAATTTATGTAAGGTACTTTAATGCGCATTATGACTTAAGTATTAAATCACAGAATTGTATGACATCACATGAGTCAAGTGGGAGAATGTTAGAATTAATTTAATTAATTCATTTCATTATGTGACTCATGTGAAATATAATGATGGGCCCAAATGTGATTTAATAAAATATGAGGACCTATTGGTTATTATGTGAAGTTAGAATAAAATAAAGATAAAATAAAATATTAACTTATGGTAACCAACTTGATGGGAGTTGGTTAATAAAATACAATAAGGGTTTTGTCTCTGGTCATAAGATTTTTTCACGGTAAACCATCAAGAAAGCGTGAGAAGAGAAAGAAAGACAAAGAGATAGATTGGGAAAAGAAGATTGGAGAATGAGAAGATTAAAAAATATATTCTCATGAATCAAGGTTAGTTCTCTTATTATGATTCATGTATGTTATGTTGTGAAAATCAATAATCTAAAGATCCTGTAGAGTAGTTTTCCATGAGAAAGTAGGAAAACTACATAATGTATTACACTTAATCCCCTCTTTTTTTTCACTATATATTATATACAATAAAAAATTATATAGGATGTATATAAATATTTATTTAGTTTGAGAATAAAAGTTTAATAGTAGATATTTTAGTTATTATACTATATTAAAATTTGATATATTTGTTAAATTATATTGGAAGTATTTCTTACAAATATGTATAATATAATACTATACTATATTAAATAAGATTGACATATAAGAAGCAATAAAGTTGAACCTATTTGATAAATTTAATATTTAATGCTATAATATTGCACCCTATTAAATGAGGTATTTATTGCGTATTAAATGTAAGGAGACATTTCATAAAAGAAATTAAATGTGAAAGTTTTGATTATGCCATTAATACGAAGTTCTCCTCTCCTATAAATAATCAATCAAGGGATCAACTTTTATTCTAAGAATCACCAAATTCACATAATAAACAATTTCACCTTCATATTTGGAGATTCTAGCATAGAAAATATGTCTAAAAATTCATTCATAGCAACACTTTTGATTGTAGTTCTTGCCATAGAAGCTTGTTATGGTGTTTATATTTTACTTACCCCTTGTTTTTTTATTCTGTTAATTTTTGTCATGTAAAGTTATATATATATAAAAAATGATTTATGTTTGTAGGGAAGAAAGAGGAAGGAGACATAGTTGTGGTACCTTGTCAATCAAAGAAGGATTGTCTTCGCCACATTGGCGTTCTTCCTTGCAGTCCATCAGTAGTTCATTGCTACGAGGGATATTGCGTTTGTAATCCTATGAACACCAAATCAGGTATTCAAATTAAAATTAACCTACAATTATAAATATTTTTACATTTTTCATTTCATTTTTTTAGTTTAATTAAAATATTTTGTTTCGTTTTTATATTTTACTAATTCTTTTATTAAATTTTTATTTTTCTTTTATGTCATATCAATCATAGGTGTCGATTTAAATTTGATCCACCAATTTACTTGGAAATAATTTATCCACTTATTGTTGAATCTTTCATCAAATTGAATTTTCTTATAATTAAAATCATATTTGGAGGAGTGGATTTTGATAAATGATTTTGGAAGGATCAAATATAATATTATTAATAAATAATAAATTAATATGAAAAAAATAAGAAGTTAAAATTATAAATATATAAATAAGCATATTTAATAATTATTAAATTTAAAAAATCAAAATCATAAATATATATAGAAATTGTAAAATTTTGAAGAGTAATAAATGGTGAAAAAAATTGATGGTTAGAACAATAAATATCTGAATTGTTTTTATTAACTTTTCTCATTTACATGAATATTCTATTTCATTGTATAATTTGATCATTACACTAAAAATATTATTATTTAATATATTCAATTACAACTACGATAAATTCACCCAATATTTTTTTTAATCCAAACAACGAATCCATTTAAATTACCTTAAATTCATTTTCTTAACAAAATATTTTATTTATATTAAACACAAATAACTATGATGATTATTACGTGAAAAACTTATTTTACTCGTAACTTTATTTTTTTTAATAATTCATTATATTTATTTTCTATTTATTTATGATCTTCCAACTTTTTAAAATATTTTTTTATTATACTTACCAACATTAAAATTATACACTTAATTTTGCAGGTAATATAATGCATATTCAGGGAACCAACAAGAGGGGTAGGAGTGAATGATTTTGCTTAATGAAACATTTTAAATCAATGATTTAAGGTTGTAATTAAGAATGAAGGGCTCTGATGAGATGAATCAGGGTTAAATAATATTGTGAACATTATGGTTCATGTTAATTTGGAATATATATATATATATATATATATATATATATATATATATATATATATATAAAGTTATTAATAAAACAAAGGTCTCTCTTTTTTACATCTTATCAAAACATTTTGACTAGTCAAATATAGGTATAATTAATGCATAAAATTGTTAAGTAGAACCAACAAAAAAGTAAGTGTTTAATATAAATATGGTTGATATAATTAAATAATTAAATAAATATTAATGATGCTTTTTTTTATTTGTTAACAAAACTAGTCATTATTTATAAAGGTTTCATAAAATATAAATTAATTAAATATATTCTCAAGCATCACTCATTAAAAAGTAAATTTTTTTCATATGCTTAAGGGTATAAAATTTGTCATTTTAATTATATGGTAGTTGACATCATATATAGAGAGAGAGAGAGGAAAAAAGGAATTTATTTGTTATTTAAATAATAAAAAATAGAGATTTGTTTTTTATTTTTATTTTCAAATTACAATAAATAATAAAAACAACAATATTATTTAACTCTAGTTTAAAAAAAGATAATTTTTTTCTTTTTATTTATATTTAATATTGTACATTGTGGTTGAATATTAAGTTAACTTTGATTACGTGTTAGACTCTATACATATCAAGCCAGTATTAAAGAAAAAAAAAAAGTAAACAAAAAAATATCATTATTGATTTGAATACAAAATGCTATGAAAAAGGTAGGTCATAATTTAAAATAATAAATAAATACAAATTAAATAATTAAATAAAGTTATTAACATAATGATTGACTACACAAAATTAAAATGTTGACATAAGAAGGAAAGAGAGACACCTTGTTTTATTATTTACTTTCAAATATTCCAACCATCAAACGTGTACTTAGGCCTCAACTATCATATCAGACCCCTTCATTAATTCTTACAACCTTAAAACAAATTTATTTAAAACTAAAGCATAATCATTCACTCCTGTCCCTCTTCTTCCCTCCCTTGAAAATAAAATTACCTGCAAAATTAAGTGTTTAATTTTAATGTTAGTAAAAATAAATTAAAAGAAAATATTTAAAGTGGAATTTATAAAAAAGAGAAAAATAACACATTTGATGGCAATGAATATTTTTTTAATAGTATAAAACAATAATCTTAAGATGTATAAATATATATTATATTTAATTTAAAAAATTAAATTCGTTTATAATGATAAATTTAATTTTAATTTATAGGTTTTTCGATATTCACAATTAAAAAATATACTAAGACTAAAGTCAAATTCATATAATAATTATCATCATTTTTCATTAAAAATATTAAGTATTAGATTATTAGTTTTTCTTACTTGTATATTTGACGATTAGATTTCATAACATTAATAAACCAAAATTTGAATACCTGGTTTTTCTGTTTATCGGATGACAAACACAAACTGATTCACGACACATGACCACGGAAGCATTGCATGGAAGAAAGCGAATGTTTCGAAAACAATCTTTCTTTGTTTTGCACGGAGCCACGACGATGGTTTGATCCTTCTTTTCTTCTCTTGAAAATGAATGCCCTAAAAACACAAATAAATTTTTTTTTTTTATGTAACAAAAAAATATATGATTCAATGAAGAAGGGAGAAAGAGAACACAAATACCATAGCAAGCTTCTATGGCAAGAATCACAAGCAAAAGTGCTACTATGGCTGAGTTCTTCGACATTTCTTTGTGTTTGTGATGAGAATTTGATGATTCTTGGAACGAAACTTTATCCCTTTCATTATTTATAAGGAGATGATGAAGTTCATATTAATGACACGAATGTCGTTATTATGAGTGATTTGAAATTATTTTCTTTGTAAAACTACCCTGAAGTAATAATTTACGTGATTTTTTTCTATAAATGATAATATATTATTAAATGGTGATTTAAAAACATTCAATTGAAATATATACTTTTTAATCGTTACAATATATATTCGTTACAAAAAATTTTATTAGTTTTCATTCTTTGCATTTACCCACCATTTTTTTTGTAGTCTTAAATTAGTTTGATATTAGAAATGGAAATATTGGTTAATATAATGAAAGTAATAAATAATATTCCAAATTAAATAGTAGGTATTTTACTTTATAGATATATAGAAAAATATTCTGTAGTAATTATTTTTATTTTATACTAGATATTTAATATATATTAATAAATATAGATTATATGAAAAATCATAAAAATATATTGTTTTAAGTATATCATTGATGAAATTGTTAAACTTGATATTTGGTATTTCATATAATATAAATAAATCTTTTGATCATGTTTAGTTTATTGTGAACTTCGTATTAAATAAACTTTTTTCTTTTAAATATGTTTATGTGCTTGAAAATTAATGGATTTTGTTTTAGTCTTTGATTTTTATTTTTTTTAATCTTGCTCTTTTACACAATCTCTAAATTTTATTTTTGTCCCAAAAACGATTTCGATAGTTCTTTGAACATTGAGATAAAATGTTTTAAATAACTTATTAGAGCAAAATATAATAAATTTGTTGTTAGAGATTGTAACATCTAAAAAATAATATTAAGTAATATTATAGGTAATTTATAATATATATATATATATATATCTTTTTTTTTTTGTTAAACTATTATAATAATAATAATAAATATATCTATCAAAATATTAATAAAATAATAATTATTAATTAGAATATATATATATATATATATATATGAAATTAATAATTATTATTATTATAATACATTATGAAATTATTAATAATAATTATTATTATATACTATTAAAATTAAAATGTAATATAAATTTATTATTATTATTATGTACAAAGAAAAGAAAAATGAAAATAACATCATACAATAAGAGATAAGATTTTGGCCAAGACTTACAAAAAATTATTAATTTAATAAAAAGATAAAAATCATTAATAAAGAAAAAAAAGAGTAAAAATCTTCCTATATAAAGAGGTGGGGGTGGTGAAAAAAAAAAAGGAGGGAGAAAGGTAAGAAAGGGAGAACGAAAAGAGAGGGGGAGAGAAGAAAAAGAGAGGGAGAGAAAAGAAGGAGAGAGGGAGAGAAGAGAAAAAAAAAAACTTGGAAACAAATTTTGTTGTATTATCTGCAATATTGAGGTAGGGGGAAATATTTATCAATATTCTTCTTTATTTTTATTTATGGTTGTGGAGTGAGGTTAACCTCATTTTATTTATTCTTTATATTTTAGTTATCTCTAGTTATGTACTTATTTGCCTTATGTTTGTTTATTTTATTTCCAATTATACACCGGTCTTATTTATTTACGTGTCCAGTTACATACTTATCATATTTGTTTATTTTATTTTATCTTCAGTCTTGCACTGTTCTTATTTTAATTATCTCCAGTTATGTACTGGTTCTATTTGTTTATTTTATTTTATCTCTAGTTATGCACTGGTCCTATTTATTACCTTATATTATTTAATTATTTTTAAATAATAATATCTATTTATGAAGATTTGATGATATTGTAGATGGATGTTGGACATTGAGGATTGAAACGAATAAATATCACTGAAAGAGTGATTAAAATTATGCTCATTTATACTTACTAGTTGTTCAAATTTAATTTAAATCTTCATAAATTGAATAAATGAAATAAGTTGAGCAAGTTGAAAAATATATTTTATATATCATTATAAGATGGTATTATTTTAAATGATAATTATTCTCACCTCCTTATTGTTATTTCTTATGCATGTTACAACTAAAATATCAACATAAATAGATGAAAGCATCAAGATGGAAGATACATATTATTCAACAATTGTTGGAAGAATTTTTTTTTGTCAATTGTAATAATTGTTTCTGATATATAAAAAAATGTAAACTTGTAAAACTCACATCTTTGTACATATAAATGTATAAACATTTATCTCATATTTTACTTCAAGACTTAATAGGAAGTAGTAATCTCTTAAAATATGATTAACAACGTGAAAAAAGACGCCACATTAGATGGTATCGGAGCAACATTTCATGTGTGACCTGTAAAATGAGTCTACCATGATATCTTATGAATCCTAACTTATATAATTCCAAATGAAAAATAATAGAAGGAATAACAAGTTGACAAAAGCGGTACAAGCTATCTGAGACATGACCGCTGCATTATTAAGGAACCAAAGACTTGAAGGAACAATGGATCACAAGGTTTAGTTGAATTTAGGAGAAACAAACCTCCGCAATTTTCTGGAGGTTATAACCCAGAAAAAGACTGAATTATGGATTAAAGAATTAGAAAAAATATTTCAAGTTATGAATTGTCCTGATGACCAAAAGGTGAATTGTGTTGTGTTTATGTTAATAGGAGATGCTGAATATTGGTGGGATATTATCAGGAGATTACTAGAAGGAGGAAGAATAATCATTACTTGGGAGGTGTTTAGAACAAAATTTTTAGAAAATTTTTTAGAAAAATATTTTCCCAATGATGTGAGAAGGGTAAAAGAAATAGAGTTTATGTAATTAAAACAAGAAGGTATGACAGTAGGAGAATATGCCTCTAAGTTTGAAGATCTAGCAAAATACTCTGCATTCTTTTATCACCCTGATGAAATAATGAAGTGTATAAAATTTGAGAATGAACTTAGGTCTGAATTGAGAAAAAACAGTAGAAATACTAGAAATTTCTAATTTTCCTACGCTTATTCATAAGTATAGATTTTTGGAAGATTTTGAAAACCATCAAAATAGTAAATCAAAATATTTTGGACCCCAACATAATAAAAGGAGACAAAATGAAGGAAAACCTTACAACCACCATCAATGGAGATCCCAACCCAGTCAATTTTCGATAGGAAATTTTAATAAACCTGTAAATAGTCAGCTCAAGTGTTTCAAGTGCGGATATGATCATTATGCTAAATATTGTCATCTTAAAGGGTCTGTTTGTTTCAAGTGTGGAAAACCTGGTCATATATTCTCTAAATGTCGAAAAAAAAATTTTAATCCTTCTGCACAAAAAATAAGACATCCGACAATAGGAAGAGTGTATACCATGAATGGAACTGAAGCCTCTTAGAATAATGATTTGATCCAAGGTATGTGTTTCATTAAAGACAAAATTTTAAATGTACTATATGATTTAGGCGCAACTCATTCATTCATTTCAAATGATTATGTCCAACACCTTGAATTGTCAACTTCTTTTCTAGACACTAATTTGATTGTTTCAACTCCCACAAGTAAGTTTGTAATCACCAATAAAATTTGTCTAGATTGTCCTTTGTTCATTGAAAATAGGAAATTCCTTGCAAATTTAATTTATCTACCTTTATCTCAATTGGATGTAATCTTGGGTATGAACTAGTTATCTTCCAATCAAGTCCTTATGAATTGTGCAGAAAAATCAGTAATATTTTCAAATTCTGATAATCTTTTGAATTTCTCTACCAACTCAGTAAATGAGTCTTTGAAGAACAAAATTCAATCATATTTATTACTATCTTCTGTGGAAGTAAAAGAGAAAGTCGATTTGAAAAATATATCATTTGTTCAAAATTTTCCTGAAGTTTTTCCTAATGATATTCCTGGTTTACCACCCAATAGAGAGATTGATTTTTCAATAGATTTAATGTCTGGAACTGGATTAATTTCTATGGCACCATATAGGATGTCACCTTCTGAATTGATAGAACTGAAGAAACAATTAGAAAAATTACTTGGCAAACAATTCATTCGTCCTAGTGTATCACGTTGGGGAGCCCCTGTTTTATTAGTTAAGAAGAAAGATGGAAGTTTTAGGTTGTGTGTAGATTATCGTCAATTAAATAAATTCACCATAAAGAATAAATACCCTCTTCTAAGAATAGATTATTTATTAGATCAATTAATAGGAGCTTCTATATTTTCTAAAATAGATTTAAGATCAGGATATCACCAAATTAGAGTAAATGCAGAAGATGTACAAAAAACTGCATTTAGAACTAGGTATGATCATTATGAATACCAAGTGATGCCTTTTGGTGTGACCAATGCTCCTGCAATATTCATGGATTATATGAATAGAGTTTTTTGTCCATTTTTAGATAATTTTGTTGTGGTTTTTATAGATGATATTCTTATTTATTCTAAAACTTTTGAAGATCATGCGGAACACCTTCAAGTTGTTCTTCAAATTTTGAAAGACAAACAATTATATGCTAAATTGTCTAAGTGTGAATTTTGGTTAAAAGAAGTAAGATTTTTAGGCAATGTGATTTGCAAAGAGGGAGTGTCAGTAGACCCAACTAAGGTGGAAACAATTCTACAATGGGATCCACCAAAAACTGTGACTGAGATTCGTAGTTTCCTGGGTTTGGCAGGATATTATAGGATATTCATTGAAGGATTTTATAAAATGACTATACCTTTAACCCAACTCACTAAGAAAGGTCAAACTTTTGAATGGACAGAAAAATGCGAAAATAGTTTTCAAGAACTTAAGAAAAGATTAACCACTTCCCCTGTACTAGCATTACCTAACCCAACTGGACATTTTGTGATATTTTGTGATGCTTCCAAAATGGGATTAGGATGTATTCTTATGCAAGATAGAAGGATAGTTGCATATGCTTCAAGATAATTAAGAACACATGAAAAAAATTATCCAACTCATGATCTAAAACTAGTTGCCATCGATTTTGCACTCAAAATATGGAGACATTATGTGTATGGTGGTAAGTTTGAGGTTTTTAGTGATCATAAAAGTCTTAAATACTTGTTTGATCAAAAAGAGTTAAATATGAGACAGAGAAGATGGATGAAATCTTTGAAAGATTATGATTTTGAATTACATTACCATCCAGGAAAAGCAAATGTAGTAGCAGACGCTTTAAGCAAAAAATCTTTATATGTCTCTTCCCTTATGATTCATGAGATGAGTCTGCTAAAAGAATTCAGAAACATGAATTTTATCAATTACCATGAACCTTGATAGAATAAAATTAAACTTAACTCAAATTACTAGTGAATTACAAAGACAAATTCAAGAGACTCAAGTAGGTGATGAATTTATTCAAAAGAAAAAGAAGTTGATAGGACAAATGAATGGAGAAAGGCATAGATAAAGCAGGAATTTTGAGATTTAGTGGTAGGATATGTGTGCCTAATAATGTAGAGATTAGGAAGCTGATTTTAGAAGAAACACATAAGAGTAAATTGAGCATATATCCAAGCACAACAAAAATGTACCAAGATCTTAAGAAAATATTTTGATGGCCTAAAATGAAGAAGCAAGTGGCACAATATGTAACATCATGCTTAGTTTATCAAAAAGCTAAGATAGAACATCAAAGACCTGTAGGAATGCTACAATCTTTAAACATACCTTAGTGGAAATGAGATAGTATTGCAATGAACTTTATAGTTGGTTTACCACGAACAATTCAAAAATTTGATTCCATATGGGTTATCGTCGATAGGTTGACAAAGTCTGCTCACTTTCTACCTATTAACATTAGGTATTCATTGGAGAAACTGACTGAATTGTACATAAAAGAAATTATGAGGTTACATGGAGTTCCATCTAGTGTTATTTCTTATAAGGATCCTAGGTTTACTTCTAAATTCTGGGGAAGCTTACATCAGGCCTTAGGGACTAAGCTTCATCTTAGCTCAGCTTATCATCCTCAAACTGATGGACAATCAGAAAGAACCATCCAATCTTTGGAAGATTTGTTGAGAGTGTATGTTCTAGAGGATTCTAGTAGTTGGGATTGATACTTGTCATTAATTGAATTCACGTACTACAACAGATTCCATTCTAGCATAGGTATGACACTCTATGAGGCATTGTATGGGAGAAAATGTAGAACACATTTATGTTGGTTTGAGACTGAAGAAAATTTAATCTTAGGTCCTGACATGATTCAACAAACCACTGAGAAAATTAAGATGATTCGGGAAAAATTAAAAACAACTTAAAGTCGACAGAAAAACTATGCTGACAAGAGAAGACGACCCCTTGAATTCCAAGAAGGTGAGCACGTATTCTTGAAAGTAACACCGACACCTGGAGTTGGTATTATAATGAAAGCAAAGAAACTCACTCATCGATTTATTGGTCCCTATCAAATTCTTAGAAAAATAGGTCATGTTGCTTACCAAATTTCCTTACCCCCTTTCCTTTCTAATCTTCATAATGTGTTTCATGTGTCTCAGCTAAGAAAATATATTTATGACCCTTCTCATGTAATAATGACAGATACATTACAATTAAAGGATAACACTACATATGAAACAATGCCTCTACAAATTACAAATATGAAGATCAAACAACTGAGGGGAAGATAAATTCCATTAGTAAAGGTTGTTTAGAATGAAAGTACTTGAAATGCTATGTGGGAATTAGAGAAGAGAATAAAAGAAAGTTACCTTTATCTCGTTTTAGTCACTAAAAATTTTGAGGACGAAATTTACTGTAAGTATGGAAAAAATGTAACATCTCGAAAATTAATTTATGTAAAATTTTCTTCAAATATAATGTATTAAATAATATTATAGGTAATTTTATATAAAAAAATAAAAATAATATATATATATATATATTTGTTAAACTATTATAATAATAATAATAAATATATCTATCAAAATATTAATAAAATAATAATTATTAATTAGAATATATATATATATATATATATATATATATGAAATTAATAATAATTATCATTATAATACATTATGAAATTATTATTAATTATAGTTATTATATACTATTAAAATTAAAATGTAATATGAATTAATTATTATTATTATTAATATGTAAAAAGAAAAAATAAAGATAACATTCTTATCTCTTGGTATAAGAAGAGATAAGATTTTGACTAAGACTTAAAAAAAATTATTAATTTAATAAGAAGATAAGAATCATTAACGAAGAACACAAAAAGAGTAAAAATCTTCCTATATAGAAAGGTGGGTGGGGGTGGTGAAAAAAAGAAGAAGGGAGAAAGGTAAGAAAGGGAGAAGGAAAAGAGAGAGGAAGAGAAGAAAAGAGAGAGGAAGAGAAGAAAAGGAGAGGGAGAGAAGAGAAGGAGAGAGGGAGAGAAGAGAAACAACTTGGAAAGAAAACAAATTTTGTTGTATCAATATTGAGGTAGAGGAAGGAGACATTTATTAATATTTTTCTTTATTTTTACTTATAGCTGTGGAGTGAGATGTCTATAATTTCATTCTATTTATTTTTTATATTTTATTTACCTCCAATTACGTATTATCCTGCTTTATGTTTGTTTATAAAAATTGTCAATAATTATTTATGAATATAAAAAAATGTAAACTTGTAAAACTCACAAGTAAATATATAAACATTTATCTCATCTCTTATTATCAAGAATTAATAGGAAGTAATAATCTATTAAAATATGATTAACAACATGAAAAAAAATAAAGGAAGCCACAAAGACTATAAAAATAAAAGCAATATTCAAAGTAAAAATCAATCCAATTAATTATGAATAAAAATATATTGAATTTTTTTATGAACTAATAAGTGGATTGTCTATTAGTTTTATTACATTTAATATTTAATAAATATATTATTTAATGTTTTCTGTACAGATAAGATATAATATAAGTTTTAATTACTAATATTTCATAATTAAAAAAATAAGTAAATAATAATATTATAAGAATCAATACCATAAATATTATATTTAAAAAGAAAAATTACTTAAATAACTTTTTTTAAGTTTATTTATCAATTAGACTTGTTTATTATTTATACCTAAATTTTAATAAGGATAAATAAATTTGTTTTACATATACAATTTTTTTTCTTTTTTTCGTTATTTTTTTCTTTCTTCATTTATCTTTTGTTTTCCTTTTTTTTCCTATTTTATTCTTCTCTCACTTCTTCTTATTCTTCAATTGAAAAAATAAATTAAAATTTGATCAGGTGAGTATTTTATTATTATTATTATTAAAAAATAAAAAATTGTTATATAAGAAAAAAGTATTATATAAAAATTTTAGATATTACATTGTTATGTTATAATTATTAAAAAAATTAAATATTTATTTTAAAATATTTGTCTTAACATATTTTTATTAAATTTTAATATAATAATTTAATTAGAAGAATAAGTAAAGGAGGTGAGAGAAAAATAAGAGACATAAGAAAGAAAGATGAACTGCAGAAAGAGAAAAAAAATTAATGAGAAAAAGAAAAAAACTACCTCTCATCATGAAAATCTATTTAAGTAAATAAATTCATATAACTTCTATTTAAGTAATTTTTCTTTTAAAATATATTATTGTTAATATTTATTCAATATTATATATGTCTACACAAATAAATAATAAATCTTTCTAAATATTTTAAAATATATTGTTTTTTTATTTAAATAATTTTTTATTCACTAATAAATTTACAAATTTTACAGTCCAGTTGGTTTGTATAGGTACTTACTAATATTAATATTTATTAGTAATTTTTTAATTATGAAATATTAGTATTTAAAATTTATATATATATATATATATATATATATATATATATATATATATATATATGTGTGTGTGTGTGTGTGTGTGTGTGAATATATTGAAAACGAGAACTTAGCAACCTTGTAGATGAATATGTAAGATTGGTCAAATTGTTAAGTACAATAATAATCGTAGAACAGGTTGAGAGACCTTGAAAGTCAGAAGTTCTTGTATATTGTCTAGTACCAGTGGCATTAAAAAGTTATTATTCGAAAAAAAAGAAAGTTACCTCATCACCATCGTCATCAATCAATTATGGTAAAAAATCATGAATGAAGTTTATTGGAAGTATTTAAAGTCACTAAAAATTACATACCCTAGGAAACCCCAAAAATCTAAATTATCACATTCACACATCTTCAAACGAACAAACGGTGGTCAGCTTCATCACCATCTTTTACCTTTAACTTTTGCCTACTCTACCATATATGCTCAACCCAATGTTTCTTTTAAATAAGACTTCTTACTTTCAACCGTTCATTGAGAACATGAAAATCAGGTAAATTCTAAGGGTAGCATTCTTACTGAGTAGTTTTCATAGGGTAATCAATAGACACACAACAAGCTTTACATTAAATAGGATGAAGGTTTTAGTTCATATTGTGCTCCATTAATAAGAAAGATACTTGAACTGAATTTACAGAAATAAAAATATTAAATTTAACACAATCAAAATGAATAAAAAACCTATCATTACTCAACCATGAGGCAAGTGAAACAATTTAGTTTCTGTCAGGAAAGTAATAAACAATACATAAATTGGACAACTTTCGAGTGATACTAACAGAGGACAAAATAATGCTAAGTAGACTACTCTTGCTAACTTATTCATAAATAAATGTTATCCTTTCTCTACAGAAACAGCTAAGCGAACCAACGATCAAAACCCAGCTAGTTTTGTTTTAAAACTATATATACATATGAAACAACGGTTGTCGAAACATCCAGTTGGTACTTGGTAGGTTCTTCACTTTTCTGTCACACTTGATCATTTCCCTTGAGAATATTGTACTTGCAGAGAGGACAAGTGGCATTCATCTTCAGCCATTTCACTATACATGAAGAATGAAAATGATGGTTGCAAGGAAGAGCATGGAGCTCTGCTCCATCCTCATACGAACAGAGGCATATACAGCATTCCTGAAAAGCAACAGCAAATATTAATAAAATAAGCTCCCGAAAATGAATCTTAGCAGATCATATTTTACGGTTCATCGATTAAGTTTTCTATTATAGCCTAAATAATTTTTTATCTAAATGTCAGCATATATCCAAAAGTGTCAAGACCATGCCATGTATGATTGGGGGGAAAGGGAGAAAAAAGTGCTTAGCAATGTAAGGTTCCCATATTAAAACATGAGACCGACCAAATCCCACAACGACATCAACATCGACTTAAGGCCGAGGGGTTGCGATAATATATCGCATGTCAGTCATACGACTGATTCGACCGACCAATTATTTATTCTATCTCCTCTCAGTATCTTCGACTTGAGGTTAGAGCAATGTGTGATATTATACTATATGTCTGTCATATGACCGATGCCTTTACTCTGCGTCTTCCACTTGAGGTTGAAAGACTGTGTGATATTAAATGTCTATCATATGACCGATGCCCTTACTCAGTTACAAGACCAATCTTGATGTTAATTGTTACCCACCACTCTAGACCAAGGCCCATGATCACCGATCAACCGCAAAATACACTAGTAACTGGGGAGTTCCAAAATAGAGGAGGGTGCTCGACTCACTTCCCAACATGTAAAGCTGTTAACTTCCAAGCCACGATTATCACAGGCATGGAGGATTATAGAAAAACCTATAGATACACATCTAAGCCACCACAAAGACAACTGAAAAATATAGAGTATCCTGAAAATCTTATCAAGGCTTTTTTCTAGAACACTAGTGAAGGTTAGTTTATTATTGTACCGGATACACAAGCTGGCATCTATAATAATAATAATAGTAATAATAATAATAATAATAACAATAATAACAATAATAATAATAATAACAATGGCGGGATGGCAAAACAGATTGGATCCCGTCCGCTTTAAAGCGGAAGCGGACGGGACGGAATGATAATTTTAGCTAGCCTCCTCATTTTGGCCCGCTTGTCTAACTTGCCAACTTGACCGATTAAGGATGGAGCAGACTCATTGACCTGCTTTAAAAAATATATTTGTATATTAAAATAAAAAAGATTATAATTAAAAATATTATATTTTTGTGTTATGTTATTGAAATATATAAATATATTATAATATTTAAATTATAAAAATTAATCAATTAAATTTAAATTATTGATTATTTTCACACATAAATATAATAACTTTTTTCAATTTATCTAATAAAAATATTTATTAATAAATAAAAACTTAAAAATTATTCATATAAGTAATAATATATTTTTAAAAAATACATTGATGGATTAACCCATTAGCCCACCTTTTGATGGAGGAAGTTGAAATCTGTAACCCGTCCTAACTATGATGAACTAACCCATCACATCTCGTTTTTTATGAGCTAGAAGCGGGTGGACCGAAACAGGACTGTTTTGTTCTCCCTAATATTTAAAAGAGTTGAGACCTACATACATCTTCAACTAGGTTCCCTTTTAAGAATAATTTGGCAAAATCTTCACTAAAACCATCTACGCAAATAAATTGCAGCTAATAACAGCCTCCTTTGCTAACCCTTTTGTTTAATCACTATTATTTCCTCGGTGACTTCATCTTTGATAAGTATCAAAAAGTCTATACTTACTCCTCTCCTTTATTGCGAAGAAGAGCTAAAGTAAGAATGGGGCAAAAGAAGTACTTAAAAGCGGGTAAAGAACTTTTTTTTTTGTGTGTATTTGGAGCATGTTTAAGAAAACTGAAATCTTTCAGCTATTTTTTTAGAAAATAAGTTGTGTTTGGAACAATAACTGAAATTGTGTGCACCTGAAAATTTGTATACAATGACTTCCTAACAGGTTTTTTCCATTTCGGCTTCATAAATACTTTTTTTCATGTAAAAGCTATTTCTTTTGTTGCAATCGAATATAATAAATTTTCTTAAAACCATTTTATAACAAACTTGAACAAATATTAATTCTGATTACAATAAAATAAAACAATAATCGATTATACACATAACCGATTATTGAAATATCTTACTTTTTGGTGGTTGTCCGAAAACACCCTTACTTTCAATAAGATTCACGTAATTGCTTCATGGGTAGTGGAGGATCTTCTTGGGAGCTGAGGAGGACCGTGACCCCCAAAGTTTTGTAATTCCCATATAATTTATGATTTTGACCCCCAAACTTAAGGAACATTTAATATATTTACTTGTTTATTTACAATTTTATCTTCTCAGCCCCTTCTAACTCTCATATAATTTATTATTTTGTCTCCCTCAAATTTAATGATCATTTAATATATTTAAGTATATATCTACAATTTTATCCTTTCACCTTTCATTTTTTTTTATATTTATTTATTATTTATTAATAATATATTATTTGGCCCCCTCAAGATCAATGTTCAAGATCCACTGTTCATGGACCATTAAACCTAGACAATAAATTAAAATATAGTTGCTTTCAATTTTTTAGGACTTCGTTCATAGTAGAGCATGATATGAGTAAATTATTTTTTATCATATGAATATGTTTTACCCCAGGTTCAAGATTGTAACCTCTTTGGATCTTCTATATTAAACATATTAAATTCAAGAAAAGTAAAGTATAATGCATTTTAACTAATATTTCGAACCTCTATCAATTATTTCACAGATTTCTTAAATATCATGGATTTTAAAGATTAGCACATAAATATGGACCAAGTTAAGCAAACATGAAACTACTATTTGAAGTTATGAAAGGCAATTTCAGTACTTAGATATAGAAATTGCATTTATTATTTCCCCCCCTGGCTAACCAGATCCACAGATAAGAGCAAAAGGAGACACAGTGCGAATATTTGTGCATTGACCAAAATAAGAAGACCAGCAATTTCTATTTCATAGAAGTGATGGAATGTGACGCAAAAATAAATAGCATTTGAGAAACGCTTACCGCATCCTCTGGTAAAAGCACTCGTTCATTTGCCAAGTAAGCACTGTTAGTTTCAATTGGAACCATTGATCCAGCTCCACCATTGGACTTATCCTCACTGCTTGATATTCGAAACTTGTATTTTGGAAGTATGCTAAGATCTGCTTCAGACGCACCTTCCTATTAATCCCAAAACAATAGAAGAAACATTAGAAGGTTCAAGAGCTCGAAATATTTTAGTCCGTGTAAAATATTTGTTATTCTTACCTGTCCTGCAACAGCATAGAGAATTGCAATGATGCAGGGCAAACAACAACAGAGAGCAATTCCAATCAAGCACGCCAAGACAACACAAAATATGGCAAAAAAAACATCAAATGCCAGAAAGACAACAGACAACCTGTAAAATTACAAAAACAGATATTTTGTCATTAATGTTAGTAAGATTCATTAATTACAGCAAACAATTTATCAGATAAAAAGAGTTAGCAAGTATCCATACATTTGAATATTCCAGAATATATGTAAAAATGTTTTAAGAAAATATTGGTTTAATTGATAGATTATTTTATAAGCAATAAAAGTAAAAATACAATATAAAAATGTGTTAGAAACTTCCAATATGGAAAAATATTAAAAACTAATATTAATGGAGATTTAAATAATTCATAATGGTTATACTTTTGGTCTTCAATGCAGAATCCCCAAGCATACTTACTTAAAATGAAGCATAAATATTTAAAATGGAAAAGTATTGGAATCACGTCCATCTCCAATACTGATAAACTTAAAAGACTCCTACATACATATCCAAGGAGTGGCCTCAAATTTTCTTTAAACTTATTAAAACTTTATTGATTGATACATTTCGGATACATCTATATGACTATACTTGAATAAGATCTAACTTATTAAAGTTTAATGATTGATACATTCAGGGTACCGCTCAACATTTTATAAAATCTCAATGCTTAATTTGTTGTGGTCTTTGACCAGGAATACTCACAAGCTATGAAGCACAAGTACATAAACCAATACACTTATGATACTCCTTTGATACAATACTCCTAAATACATATCCAAGAAGTATCCACCAATTCCTTTTATTGTATTAAATTTTTATTGACTGATGCACCTAGTACCTATACTTGAACGGGTCTAAAACTACGTACAGCTCTATTTTCCTTATATCCCTAAAGTGGTAGCAAATAGAAGACAAGCATATAGAGCCAAGACTTCTTTTGAATGTGATTAATGATGCTTTTTGCAACGTTCTAACATGGGTTGAAGAAAATATGTGCTTCTTGTGACATATTGTACATAAGTTAACATATCAAGGTGATTTGGGCCACTAAATAGGATTACCATATCTCTATATTTAAATTTTGATTTATTTCAGTTTATCTTTATTTTCCTAGCTTAGATCAGGATATCAGAATGCTGATTACAGATCCTTGTTTTGTTAATTAGGATATATTTAGATATATTAATTAGGGATCTCTTTTTTCTTTCATTTTATTAATTAGGTCCTAAATTAGGATCAATTAGAATGCATGTTATTTATGGTCCTATTAATTAAGAAACTCTTTTATTTGTAGGGAAAATTGCACTACGTTCCCTCCTGTCATATCACATGATATGAGACTGGGGCGTGTGACTTCCAACAAACAAAAAAACATGAAAATTAAAAATGAATGTTTTAGAAGTATAAGGTGGTCACAATATTGTTGTCGCGGTGTCTCCCCCAACCACAATGGCAACAGCAATGAATAAAGGATATATAAATAATTTAATTGCAAAATTGTTATATTTTACTTTCAGTGCCCACATAAAATAATTTCACAATGCAACAGCCACAATCTGCAAACTCGCACCACAATGGCCCCAACTGCGGCCACAATCGGCACTGCAATTTAGAACCGTGGTTGGACTCTTTCCTAGAATCCCACCAGAGCAAGAGTTTTGTAGCACTGGGTTGCCTTCTTGTATAATCAATCAAATGGAACACATAGCTAAATATTAGCCACTGTATGCTAAGGGAGCTAGTAACCTCTTAAAAACAATATGTTCTCAGAAATCTCCACACTTCTGTTATTCAAAAGAAATAAATGAAAAGGAACATATCTTCATCCCTACACATCTACCCACCCACCCAAAAACAAAAGAGAGGTGAATGATCTCATATGTGTATGCATTGTCAGAAACCTGAACAAATAACAAATATAATCCGTATATGCAAATCAACATGTATAGATTGATGCCAGATATTAAAATTAATATACAAACATTATTTTACAAGTTTGAAATAAAGGCTTACCAGTACAATCGTGGGGCATCTTGCAGAAGCATATCACCACCAGAGACAACCCAGTAAAAACCCACTATCCACCAAAGGAATGAAACCCCAGTATTTAATGATTCACATCGTTTTGTGAACCTGTGTTGGAAATAATAAAAAATCAGTTTCATCCAATATTAATTAATTATATAATACAGTCCAAAGAAGTATCAAGTATAATTGATATTAATAAGACAAACAACATATAAGATTAACATGCTTCATCAGCCAGGGTATTTAAGATAAAAATAGACATTTCCTTTCCCAAAGATAATGATAGTCCTGTCCGGTGGACGGTGGTTAGTTCTCATATTAAAGTACACCATGTGAGGTAAAACTTATGTGGCAAAAATATCTACGGAAGGATTCCTTTGACTGAAACCTAATTGAAAACCATAAATTAATATTACCAGACACATACTGAAATTTTTTTTATCAACTATCATGACTAACCCTTATTTAGTATACCACATTATATTGAGTGCAATTTGAAACAAGATGAGCATGGAGAAACTGAGCGGAGAGAATCAAGAAAAACATTCTGAATCAAGCCTTGAAGACAAAAGCACAAGCAAAGATAAACATTTGAAGGTGGATAACCACTTTGGAGAAGAAGCAAATATCAGTGAGCCAAAAAAGGGACTATAATAGGTCTCATCAGCTTCAGCTCGCCATAATGCTCCTTTTTCAAGGGAAAAAATGCTGCAGAAAGCAGAGCATTGGAGGTGCAAGGGGGCATTAACATGTTTGTGTTTGATCCAGGAGGAGTAAAAGCTATTTTGAGTTGCAAGGTGGGGTGGCTTGGGCACCAGGCTTCAATCAGTTGGAAGGGGATTCATTTCAACAGCCTCGTGCTATTCACCAAGAGGATAATGTGAAACATTAAGGGAAAGTATTGATAGCTAAGGTAACCCTCTAGTAAGTTAAGTTAACTAGTGGAGTAATTAGAATTGCGTAGTTCAGAGCTAGAATAGTTAGAAATAAATCATTTTTCCCATAAACAGGAAGAAGTGTTGAGAGAGGAGTGGCTAGCCAATTGGACTGCTATTATTGTGGCTAGGAAGAGTCCTCGTTCTCTCAAATACACAGGGTTTTTATGAGTTTTTTCTGTTCATCAATAAAATATGTTCTGTGTTCTCAACCTGAATCAGTTTTTATCACTATTATTGTCCACATTATGATATTAGAAAAACACAAACCCCATTCATGACCCTTCACTCATCCAGATCAACCTAACTAATCAATGGAACATTTTCACATTTGTATTTGACTAAATCTAGCCAACCAAATTTTGTTATCAATAGCCTCTTCACGACACTGTTAGTCATATCAAGTCCAATCATAAAATTACATAACCCTCAACCATAATCCCAAGTAAAACATCAGAAAATCTCTCACAATAACTCTACTAAACTTCTTCATAGAATTTTAAGCTGCAATATAGATACTTGACAAAAGCACAGCACACCCAATGTTCATCTGACCAACTGCACCTTCAATTCACTCCAAACTCATATCTACTAAACCAAACCAGAACAAAATTCAAACCGGAAACCCTAGCAGACAACAAAATAAAAATAAATGATTAAATTCATTGATTGAAAAAGAAAAAAACTCTTCTCAGTAAAAGAACCTCTATAATCTGATAAAATTTAGCTGCACCAACTCAAATATCAAATCATTAAACTGAAAGTCAAAACCCTAACATCCAAAAAAAATGAACAAGTCCATAAAAACAGAATAATTCAGCTCAAAGTGAACGAAATTGAATTAAATTTAACGAACCGGGAGCGAGAAGAGATGCCAGAGCTCCCATCTTCGTCGCTGTCGCTGCCGCCAGCATCGCTTGGGGCACTGTTCCCCACGTCCCTTGCGGCACGGAGTGATTCTCTCCGACTCCGGCGCCTGTACTCGAGCCACACGAGCACCACATGCACAAGGCACTGCAGCGCGTACCCAACGATCCACTCGCGGATCGGCGTGTTAGGCTGCTCTCGAGTGGTGCATGCGAGCATGGCCACCGAGACGACGACGAAGGCCATGTTCCATGACATATCGAGCGCCACCACCGGCTTGGAATAACCCCAGTCAGCGCGGCGCTCCTCCAGCTCCCGGGCAGCTGTCTCCCGCACCAGCATGGAGGGGCCACGGCGGCCAGCCCGGCCGAGGAGGAGCGCTAACGAGGGGGTTCGGGAGCCATCGTGACGGGAGCGGAGCAGTGGCGCCTCGCCCTCAGCCGTGGCAGTTTGTGATGACATGGCAGGCAGAATTCTCTAGAGAGGAGAAGAGAGAGGGTGTTGCATAATTTAATAATTGAAATTGAAAAGCTTTGAAACAGAAACAGATGAAAATACTCCTATTGTTGTTTTGCTATAATAATAATAATATAAAAAGATGAAGAAGATTAGCTGATAAGCATTTGACAATAACAATGATTTGTGTTTGGGTGAAGTGTTAGTGAATGAATGAGAAAGGAGATGAAGGATGAGAGAAGAAGTATTTGAAGAATGAAGACAATTTGCAGTGATGTGTTGAAAGGTAGATGAGAAGAATGATTGTTGAAAACGTTTCTGAGGGGAGTGTGCTGTGATGCAATTTTATGGGGTGAAGGACACATTACTTTAACTTTTATATGGGTACATACATAAGTAACTTCGGATTTTTTTTAATGTTTAAAAGATAATTGAAATTTGAAAAAGGTAATTTATAATTAAATAAAAAGATATATTTTCATATGATATTTGTATATAGTTTTAATTAATTTCAAACATAGTCGTGGAGGGAATGTGTTAATTAATATTTATTACGTCGTTGTATAAATTATTTATTTCTATATTGGTCTTCTTATACACATTTTTTTTATATTTCTATTCTTATACATATTTTATTTTTTAACCTATTTATTACTATTTTATATAAACTACATAATAGAAACAGAAAGAATGATTTTGAAACAGCATTTTATGAAAAGAAAAAAAAATTAAAATAAAGCTTTTTCTAATCATATAGATAACTCACCATTAGATATAAAACTTGTTGAGATAAAGTCATATAAAAATGAAGAACTCCTCATTAATCACGTAAAATTATTTTTCGTTATATAATATTATGTACCATATCATTTTAAGAGATAAATTCAATAATATATATATATATATATATATATATATATATATATATGAAATTATCAGTAACTGTTGTACATTCTTAACGTGTATGTTTTATCTTTCAATAAATTGATATATAAATATTATCTTCGAATTGTAATTGTTGCACTTCCATAGTTATCATCCATTCACTTTTTAGCTCATTTTGTACAAATAAATATATTCAACTTTTATCTCATTTTTTACAAGTAAAACGTAGACAATAAATCCATTTACTTCATTTATTTTTAATCTATGTTTACTCGTAAATAGAACATTATATGTTATTTATCATTACACAATATTTCCTATCCGAACAAATATTCAATTTTTATTTAGGTATAATTCAAAACAAGATCTAACTAAACTTATTTGTATCATTATTGATATTAATAAACATTATATAAACTATTTTATAGTATTATGGAATATAATATTTTATATAATCGAATTAGAACATATTTGTATATAATTATCAATATTGAATTACACAAATATTGAGTTTTATTTGCAAATACAATTATGTTTTATAAATCATATAATTAATATGATAATGCTCATAATATTAAATTATATAAGAACATAATATATTGAAATTTCAGTATTCTAAATTAACTAGATTTAAATATCTAACGTGAAAAATTAATTTTTAGAATTTGAACATCTTGAAAAATCCATTATCCAAACATAATAGTTTATTATAGAATATTTTAAATTCTCTCAAAAAAATTAATTACATTAAAAAAAATTATCATTCAAAAAATTCCTCATCGAAGGATACTTCGGCATTTCAGCTTGAGCTGTGCACATAAGCTCAAAAGCATCAGGTTGAACAACTAGTTTAAACAAGCCACCTTAAACAACAACTTCTCAGTAAACATTGTCAACACCTACAAGGCGGCGCGCCAAATCGGCATGCAATGCATGACCACCCTGCATCAAACATATACCAATCGCATTAACAATCATTAACATCGCATAATAGCATGTTTTGATTAGTATATTTCAAAGGGAATACAACATCATCAGCTGTGACACAGTGAAAGTCAAATTGAAAAAAATGAAAATATTTAAAATAGGGAAGAGGGAACCAAAGGCACACACCTTGTATGCTACGATGTGTGCCACTGGGAGTCCTTGATTCCCAGAGTGAGCAACCAGCGAGAGATCACCGATAAGGTCCAAGATCTTGTGACGGCATGGTTCATCACTGAAATGCAGAGGTGGATTCAACCAACCCTTACTAGCACTGCAAAATAAAAAAGCTACTAATTATACAATGAGTAACATAGAAACTAAGAAGATCGATTGGCAACATGGAAATCAATGCATAACCTTCTCATGCATTGGAGCTTTGCAGTAAAGTAATTTCATTTGGCCAGATTATCACTGAACCAAAATTTCATCTGTAGTCCAGCCTATTCTACATATTCAATGAGATTAATTTCATCTTAATGTTAGTGTAGTTTCAAACCATGTCTCGGATTTCGACAAAATACTGTTGTGTTGTTTCAAACTACTCTTTAAGTAATGCTGCATGAACTTATCTACTCTAGTACGATAGGTTCCCTATCTAGCATATAGCTAAAAGCTTTCATCAGTTATAATGCATCCTTGAAGCAAAGTATATACCTGCATACAATGGCATTTTCTATAGAACCTCCTTTGATAAGTCCAGCATTGCGCATATGCTCAATCTACAAGAAATTTAAAGAGGGTATCCAATTTTAGTTGCATCCTATCAAACATATATAACTGCGCTTGGAAAGGTTCACTTCTCTATTGGAGTTTCAACAACTTCAAACTCTTCTAGAGATGAAAGGATAGATATAATGTGATCCACTGAAAGTATTTTATACTTGCTTAAAGATTGAAGGTATTGTCTTGACATACAAAATGAAGGGTGTTGATATTGTGATCAATGCCTCACTTTGGAAAGGGATAGCCTATCATATGAAGGTCTAGAAGTGTGTAAAGGTAATGGAATTCCAGCTGAAGATTACAACAAGGTTCAAGCTTACAAAAGTTATTTGAGAGATCCTAACGTACGTATCATGGGATTTAATGTTGGTGGCAGTTTACTTCAAGAGGGAGTAGTCATGCCTTGTTGAATGAAGGTGACTCAATGCTACTTTATGGCATCAAGAACAGTTGGCGATCAATTGGATTTATGTGATTAAAGATCACATGCTGAAATCCAAAAGAGTCACATATTCCAAGTTTCCTTGTGCTATCTTCATTTCCAAAGTAGTAGGGCATTTTAAGGCATACTTAGGGAGTCATTTAAGATTGTGAGGGAGTCTAATACAATAAATAATTACATAAGATGGGTTTGGAGAAAATTGCTAGAATTTGGTTTCTCATGGAGGATGGGAACCCACTGGTCAACCTGAAGAAGGTGCAGCTGAAGATGTGATTGAATAGGTTCATCAAGCTGAAAAAGGAAGTCAATTTTCTCCTTTGAGCAAATGATGCTCAACAAAATGGATAAATTTGTTGAATCTCAAAGACAATCCATGGGTCTTGCTAATCTTGACGAGCTGATCAAAATTATTCAAGACCAACTTCTTAAGAGTGTTTTGTTTGCTTTGTCATGTGTTCAGCTTGTCTTTGCTTGAGTGTTGGTTGATTTATATTTCTTTGGAAATTTTCTGCATTGTAATTTTAGGGCTTATTTTACATTTGATAATGACAAAGGAAAGAAAGGTAGTTTGTGTTTACATGATCCATGTAGCCAACCTCACCTAATGGTATTGTTGTCGTTGGTTGAATACAAAGACATTTTATTCCTAAGGTTTTGGAATGGCACAGCATTTGGAGCACAAAATTGAGGGCTTATTATACATTATCAACAACAAACTAGATAAAAGAGTAGGCTGACGACAGACAGTAAAAAACCAACAAAACTTTTTGAAATTAAATTGTATGGATTCAGTTCAAATAGAATTATATAAAAAAAATTTACAACAAACCAACCAAAATTAGTTGTATCCTATGAAGCACCGACTCCGACACGGACACTGAGACACGACACGGACACGCGGACACGGCAAACTTCTAAAATATAGGACGGGGACACCTTATATATATTAGACATGAATAAAAATTGAAATATGATTCAAATGAGAAATATATAAATTAAAAATTAAGATTTGTTCATTCATCTTCTCAAGACAAAGTTGTTAGACTTTACAATTTTCATATGATATCCTAACCAAAAAATACTAAGAACTACTATTTCACAATATAAAAACTTTGTCTTTTAACAAAAAGAAAGTATCAAAATAAGAAGATGAATCAAATCTATTAAAGACAAGTGGCCTTCATGATCATCATCATTGAAAAATACACTCTCTAACTCTGGTTCATCAAGTGATAAATTAGCAACTTCAAGCATTCCACTCTCATCTAGTGATCCAAATGCATCTCCTGCTATGTCCCACATTTTTGTTTCCTCTTGGTTATATTGTGGAGAATTCCTTGAAAGAAGACGGAGGTTGCTATGAACAAATACTAGATCTTCTGCCCTATATGGTGCCATCTTGTTTCTTTTCATAGAATGAATAAAAGAGTAAGTGCTCCAATTTCTTTCACAACATGAAGAAGAGCATGGTTGCCCAAGTAGTTTAAGAGCAATTTTTTGAAGTATTGGAGCATGAGCACCATAAACAAGCCACCAAGATTTTGCATCCACCAACATTGCTAATAGTGGCTCTTCAACTACTTCGTTATTTCGGAGTTCATTGGGCAGAGAGCGTTGTGTGGTTTGTGCTCTCGGATTAACTGCACAGTAGCACACAGCAGAGGAAAACTGGAAGGAAAAAAAGAAAGCTTTTTTGGATGAAAGGAAAGCTTTGGAGCAGAAATGGAAAGGTGCAGAGGAAGGAAGGAAGAAAGGAAGGATACGTGCAGAGGAAGGAAGAAAGGAAGGATACGTGAAAATAAAAGTAAATAGAAAAAATTCAATTTTTTTTTTATAAAACCTGTTCCCGAGTCGGAGCCGTGTCTGACACCGCGTCGGAATTAGGGCACGCCGTGTCCACATGAATCGCAGCCTCGCGACACGTTTTTGGTGCAGGGGACACTGCAAAAAAGAGTCGGACACGCTTCCGCGAAGTGTCGTGGCGGTGTCGGTGTCGCAAACGTCCGCGACACTCCGACACGGATGAGGGGAGCCGTGTCGGTGCTTCACAGGTTGTATCTAAGAAGACTTGCAGAAAATTTAGCTTTTGATAGAATATGTTGGTGTCGTTTGGTTGAAGCTGACCCAAGTTGCATGGATTAAGCATGTGTTCAATATTAGTTTAACTTACCATCAAATGGTCAAGTGCGAGATACAAGTAACATCTTACATCTTAAGTGGTTGTCCACTATATGATATTACGTAGTAGAAACAAACCAACATATCAATAACTAGATTATATGGCAGAACTAACCTCCTCGTAAATGCAGAAGGTTCTTGACAAAGCTATCTGCATGGAATAAACCAAATTATCCAAGGGGTAGGTAGAAAACCACTGGCAGCCAATAGCAGGTGCCTGTAAAAGGAAGGTGTTTGTCCATTAATCAATGCCAAGCCCACCAAAGGTTACCGTAGCCAAGTGCACTTATTGTATAAAAATCACTTGTATGTAAAATATTAGCATATTTGTATCCTAGTATTCTTTGAGAACAAATTGCACATACTGGAAGTCTAAAAGGCAAAAACATCAAGATACTTGCAAATTCTTTAATCTTTTTGTTGATATTTCCCCCACACTATCATTATTATTATTATTATTATCAGATTATTGTAAATAATTAGAACAGTTTATTGTGCTTTTGCACAAGGAAATTGGGAAAAAAACAAAAGGACTATTCAGATAAACTACCATGTGTTTTCAGAAAAATCACAAAAAGTGTCTCTACTCCTAAAAGTGTTTTTTAAGAAATTCTGTCAAAACTTGCCCTTAGAAATCTCTAAATGACATGCCCAGAAGTTTTTTATGATAGATATTCTCCCCCAATGTATGATCAACCTATCTTTACCTGTGGAAAGTTGATGCCATAAGTTATTTGAACCATTTCTGAAGGAAATGCAGCAACAAAAGAATCATTTCTCCAAGCACACACCGGTTCATTCACATGTGGTGCCATTTTCTCAACACTTTTGCCATCAAGATCAGTGGCCACCATTAAACCAACTCCTTCCACTGCTGCCACCCATTCCCTTGCTGACCCATCCAATATAGGAATCTGTATGAGAAATTACTGAAACTAATAATTTTCTAATACAAACTATTTATTATAGAATAATAAATAAATAAATAAATAGGACTGCAAGGGAAGGGAGGAAAGAAAAATTATTCATCAATATTTTCCACGAACTACTATAACTTTATTATGATAAAGCAGAGCAAAGGAGAATATCCAAGAAACATAAATAAAACTATATTTTACTAATATTTTGATAGCTTATTTTGCATGCCACTTTGCCAACTATTTCATCTCTTTGATTTGGGATTAATTTGAACAATTCTTCAATATTTAAGGGGCAATTTAAAGTGATTTCTAACCCATTCAACGATTTGCTAAAGAACATTTCACTCTAACAACAATTTAGGAGAGAAAATAATACTTTAAGGATGAAATTAACCGGCTATTCATTTTCTTTCCACACAAACAAACAATGTTTCAACAAAGTTACCTCTGCGTCGTTCTCTTTATCACCAAAATCTTCAATCTCAATCCTGCAATTATCAACTCCAAAAGCCTCCAAAGCCGAAAGCAAGTGCTCCACGGTTCGAATTCGGAATCCGCCCATGCACAGAGTGGTGCAGAGCGGCGACACCTGAGCATACTCGACGGAGGCGGGGATTGAACGGGAGCGAAAATCAAAGTACCTGCCTCGGGAGGAGAGCTCGGGCCACAGCCTCACCGTCGAAACTTTTCCCGAATGAAGACCCACGCCGCTCCGCTCCACGCATCCCGCTAGGGTTTGCTGAAGCCTCCCCATCTTCAAAAGACCGTCGAAGGGTTAGTGTAACCAAGCTTTTGAAAGATGCATTTGTGGATTTTCGAAGTTTTACGGGAACCAAACGGTGGATAAAGAAGAAGAATAAGGGAAAGAGAACACAAACCGGTTTCCATGACACCAGTTTTGATGATCTGAGAGCGTTGGAAGCATACATTTGTGCTGTGTCAGTGTCAAAGTATCACTGTATAGTGATTTTAAGTAAAATTAATTATTTAAATAAGACTTAATTAAAAAATTTAGTTTCATAATAAGATGTTTTGATTTTAGTCTTTATTTTTGCTTTGATTTTTCGTCCTCTTAATTTGCTTTGAAAATAATTATTATTTTGTTCATTTTAATTTTGTTAATGATACTCTTCCTGATATTAATAATTTTTAATTTACTATTTTATTATTGTATCATGTGATAATGTTATAGCATTAAAATTAACAAACAGAGTTAAAGACAAAAACTAAAAAATATTATTAAAAAGACCAAATCTAAATAAAATATAAAATAGCAAAAAAAATAAAAACATTCTACACAAAAAGTTGACTCACATCTCATTTCACGTAAGTAGGTTAATCTGTCGTCACAAAAACGACGTCGTCTGGCCTAACAACGAATTTGCACCAACCTGCCTTTGTTAGTGTTTGAATTGAAGGAAGAAACGAAGTGTGATTCAGAGTCGAAGCAGGGATCCATCGTCGTCTTCAGCGTTTCCGGTGTGTTTAGAAGATTCAATTCTCTCTTATCTCAAGTTCCTTCTTTGTATATTGAAAAGTTCAAATGAATGGGTACACTGGTTCGGTTATGTATGCGCAATTAGTTTTTTTCTTCAAGTGGTACATTAGATTTCGTCAATTGCTCATTAGTACGAAAATTTTGAAAACCTGTAATTCAATTGCGCAGCGAGTACGAACAGTTTGCGCAGCAAATATGGATTTCATCTCGTGTAGAATTGCTCTTAGGTTTGTTTGGACAAATTTGTCTTAGGAATTTGTAGAAGAGAAAAAGAACAATAAGAAAAAATGAGAAGAAAAATTAAAATTACTTTTTCTTTAAGCTAATACTTAGAAACTCTCTCTTATGGCTTCCTAAAATAGTAATTTGTTATAGAAAAGCTTATTTCATTTTTTTTTTTCTTATGGAGAAACCGATTCAAACAAGCTCATTGTTACATGTGTCGTAGTTGGATATATACAAACTGAAGGTGGCATTGAATATATGTATTATTGAATAAAAAAAATATTTTTTATTTTTCACTTTTTCCTTCGTCATGTAGGTGATCCAATCACCTAAGTTATGAACAGAGTACTTCTAAAAACCATAATTGCAGTCTTTCTTTAAGGTTTTGAATGAAGTATTAAGATAAAGAAAGGTACTATGAGGACCAAGCGCTGCAACTTTTGGCTTCCTAACAAAAACAGATTTTGTGCAAATTGCCCTCTCAGTGGTTCCTTGTAAGTCTCAAGCTCTTTGCTTCTATTTAATTTTTTATTAATTGCACTCGCTCACCCTTAAAGTCTATAAACTCAGATTCTGTGGAAATCACAACTCAAGGTCCCAATGCCAGTGGATCCCATGCCCCATAGATCCGTCCCAGTATTTGCTCTCTCTCTCGTGCTTTCTTCTGTGTATCAACTTAGTCCAATGCTTCTAACTTTTGAGCTCTTTTTCATTTGGTTCTTGCCTTTTCATCATTTGGTAGCTCGGTGCTTGAGCAAAATCTTAAAGGGCATGTTAAGCGGTGTCCATTGCTGAAACAGGCTCAATCGTTGTCTCTCCAACCTTTCTATCAAAAAGGTATCAATGCCGGTTCTGATGGAGAGGAGGAGACATCTGGGGTTGATGATTCAAGATTGCCTACTAAGACAGTTTCTTCTGAAATGAAGAGGAATGCTCTTCATGAAATGAGTGTGCCTGAATTTTGCAAGTTGATTGAAAAGATAGAATTTCTACATGAGTCGTTGTGTAAAGATATTCAGGACTCAGTTCAGATGCCAGAGGTTTGCAGCCTCTGGATTAAAAGAGGAGTTGAAGATAGGTATGTTAAATTCTGGTTGCCTCATGTAGTTGTATCAAAATCATTTTGTGTTATTTTGCCCCTGTGGTTCGTCTCTTCATCACAAGGCCCCGTATTTGTACTTCCTTTATTATAAAGCTTACTTCCATCCATCGGTTCTGCTGATGGAACTGAACATTTGGGGTTTCAAAGTCAAATGACAAGTGGGGACGTTGATTTCAATCCAACCTAGAAGGGAGGAAATTGAATAACTTGAGTTGCTTGCAGGAAATTGCCATTTCAAGAGAAACATATTATGCAACAGGCATCTATTGTGGGAAATTTGGAAAACTTTGGGTTACTGAAGAATTCTCTTGGAAGGAAACCATTTGAGTGTGTGGAACCTGTTGAGAAGAAGGAGGATGTCCCTGCAGTGATTGAGTTTGGGGCCGGTAGAGGGTATTTGACACAAATGCTTGCAGATTGTTATGGAATCCAACAAGTCTTTCTAGTTGAGCGAAAGGCATACAAGTTGAAGGTAAGACATAAGCTACTTGGAAAAGTAATAATCATTAAATGCTCCTATTTCCAACAAGTTCTAAATCATGTTATAGTGATTTTTGACTTGTTTATTTACATCATGCCAATGCTATTGCCAGGCCGATCGATCACTGCGACAGAATGAGAGCTTGATGTTAGAGCGATTGAGAATTGACAGTAAAAGTCCCAAAACTCTTAATGTAGAAGATATTTTCTGAAGTTGTACTTATAGTAGTAGAGTTTGCCTGCTTAGATATCTTTACTGAAGAAATCATATTGTGTGTTTCAACTAGATATAAAAAATTTGTGAATAACAGGATTTGAAAAATTTCTAGCTCACTGTTTGGCCCCCTGCTCTACTTGATTCCAATGCGAACATATTAAAAACTTTTGATGAAAAACAATACAAAAGATGTGATTATTAAAGGAAATAAACTAAAGCATATTCACTTTCTTAGTCCTTTGCATGTAAAGTCTTGTCATCTGTGTTGAGGTATTTTAAGAATGGTCAGGTATAAAAACAATTGCCGTTCTATCTTTGTTCCCCTTTTCCTTTAAGTCATAAGGAACGCCTTGTCATAATACAAATACCCAAAAGCTACTCCATTTAATAAGTATGCTCATTTGGCTACTACTAGTATAGTTTTAGGTCTACGGCATATGAGACCATGGTATGAGCATAAGCTAATTTAGCACCTTTCATATTTTTCTGGTGTAACATTTCTTCTGAAAACTTTTGTGCAACTCTGCCACTTGTATCTTAATCTAAGCTATTCTTAGTTTAGTTCCATCTCATGTTTTTCATCAGATCAAGAAACAATATATAAGTGATGTATTTGTCATGTAATATACTGAATTTCTATGCATTTTATATTTTATTATGTGCATGAGCATATTGTTGAATTATTTTGATTTTGTTCTGTTAATTTGCTGAAGCTTAGTCATTTTCAAGCAGTAATCATTTTAAAGATTTCCTAATCCCTGATAGAAATTGCTCTATTCAAATATCTTCTCCGGCTTCTTCATAATTCTGTATTGCAGCTCTTTTATCAATAATTTCTGCCCTATAAAATTCCAACTTCTTTTACAGTTGAAGATCTAGATTTGAATGCCGTTGAGTCTTTGCAAGGAGTTCCATTCCTGGCTATTGGTAAACATCTATGTGGGGCTGCAACAGGTGACTTTGGCAATCTTGTTAGATAAGCATTGCCCTGAAATTTGTGGGATTGTTTTATTGATGAAAACATAAATGGTTATGCTACTTTTTTCAGATTTAACTTTGAGATGCTGCTTTCCTGAATATAGGAAAGATAGTAGTGAAAAGTACGCTGCTAATAGTAAGTTTGGTGGTTTAGCTATAGCAACATGTTGTCACCACCTTTGCCAATGGAAACACTATACAAGTAATCACTTTCTTCTGCCTTGCTAGTGAATACTGTAGTTTGTAGGTTTAAACCTCTATGGATGTGATGATAAGTTTTGGTTAGCTGACAGAAATTGTAACCTTGCAGATAAAAGGTTTTTTCTGGATCTGGGGCTGACAAAGGAAGAATTTCATGCCATTACATGGTTTACCAGCTGGGCAGTAGATGCTAATCATGATTCCGATCTTCCTGATACTACCAATTGTATATCACATTTACAATTCATGTAATCCTTCCAATTCTTTAGTCATTAAATTGAGCATAAAAATTCCTTCTACCAATAAAATAAAACTTCAAACAGTTATAGAAACTGGTATATCAAAAGTTGTGTTTTGGCTGCAGAAAGGAGCAAGGTGATGGATATGCAAATGGAGTTGAAAATATTCTCTCAGAAATGCAAGCGGATAGACGAGCAGCACTGGGATTTAAGTGCAAGTGGATTATTGACATGGGGAGGTTGATGTGGTTAAGAAAACATGGATTAAATGCAAAGCTTGTCAAATTTGTTCCACCTAGCATTTCTCCTGAAAATCATTTGCTATTGGCTAGATCTTCAAATTAATTATGAAATATTTATTCATTCTATTTTTCTGCATTTATCCATTTTGACAAAATTTATGTTAACTTCATACATTCTATGTTCTTTTCAATAAACAAAGTAAAATGAGGAGCACATGACCACTTATTATTGCCTTAGGGATTATGATTGAATTCGTTTTTGGAAATTGCTTCCTGCATGTAGGGATGGCAATTAAACCTGTCCCCGTCCCGAGTTTGAAGGGGAAAACCCGAGTTGACCGGGGACGGGAGCGAGTTCGGGTTTTCCTCGCTTTAAAAAGTCGGGGCGGGGTGGGGGCGGGGATGAGTAATGCAATCCCCACCCCACCCCGTCCCGTCCCGACTTTATATTTAAATTTAAATTTTAAAATATTATTATTTTAAAAGTATTTCATTTTCTTTTTCTATTACATATAAGGTCATTTTGTTTTTATATTTCACTAAATTTTTTTTTCTTCTACCCACTTTTTAATTTTTTTGTCTTTTTTAATCTTTTATATCAATTAATTTATTACATTATTCTTTCTCTTACCTTTCAGTTTTTCACATCTCCTTAATCTCTCCCATCAATTTGTTTTTTTTTCAATCTTTTCAACCAATTTATGAACACAAAGTTAACTTTTTTTATTCTTTATCTTTTTCTAAATATTTTACATAAATCTTAGTAGTAACTAATATTATTTTATTTATAATTTATATTTATTAGGTTTTATTATGTCATATTTTTTTTATCTTATTATTCTTATTTATCATATATCAAATTTTATCTTAATAAAATAATTGTATTTTAAAGGATTAAAGGAATTGATAATTTAAATTTTTATTACTTTGAACTAATTGAATAAGAATTAACTTATTAAATATTTTCTTATAAATTATATATTTCATATTTTTAAATGATAACTTAAAAATGAATTAACTTATATATATATATAATCAAATGTTTGAATACAAGTATTATAATAATAGTGTTATAAATATTCAAATATTTGAATACAGTATTATAATAATAATATTATTATAAATAAATAATAATTAAATATTTTTTTTACATATATATTTTAATATAAATATAAAAAATTAAAATGTATATTTAATTAATAATAATTATAAATTATAAATATTTATTTATATATAAAAAATATATAGAAAAATTAATTTATTATAAATGTAATTATCTTCTTAAAAATAATATAAATCGGGACGGGACGAGGCGGGAACCCAAAACCCAGGCGGGACGGAGATGGAGACTTAATTTCTAACTCCGATGGGGATCGAAAGCGAGGACTGAGATGGTTAAAAAAGTCGGAGAAGGGATTCCTGCCGATTACCATGCCTACCTGCATGTACTATCACAGAGGAATACTGAAATTTTCAGAAATTGCTATCCAAAACGTTTTTTGTTTTTTTCTTTCGGATTAGGCATTCTTGATAGGGCATTTTCAGTTAGAAGAATTTGGAATGCAATTTCTTCCATTTCTAAATGCGTATATAATTAATTTTTAACTATTCAAATTATTAATTGAAGACTATTTCTTAAGATTTACAGTTATGATCATATTAGTTATAGATAATAATCAACACAAGTGTTTCTCTTGAAGAAGGTGATTAATAATATAATTTAAACAGTATACACACGTAATGATTTAAAAAATTCTAATTGATTTTTTTTTTTTATATTCACGTTGAAAGTAAAGAAGACTATCAACGAATTTTGCAAATGTACATATGGGAAAAAAAAAAGTAATTGATCATATTTAGTGTAGTCCTCCTATATTCATAATATTTTCGTCTATAAATCTCTAACTTGAAATCTTGTTAAGTTTAAATAGTTAGTAAAAGGGTTTTAAATTTTAGATGAAACAAAAATCGAAATATTTATATATTATAACAGAGACATAAATGTGATATCCGTCTTCATATTTAGTTATAAAATAAATATTTGAAATATTATAATATTAAATTGATCTACCTTTATATTTTTTTCTTTTTCTCATAATATTATCAAAATAATTTATTATAATTTTGAGGATAAAATAAAAAAATGTGTAAAAAAAATCACAATAGATATTTTCTTTCATTTTTGTTAAAATTAATTCAAAAAATGTTAACAGTTGAATATAAAAAATACATCCAACAACACATTATATTAATATAATAATATTATTATATTTAAAACAATATTATTTAATATATATTTAAAATATTAATGATAAAGTATCATCACAAAATAATATTTTTAAAGAATATTAGTGGTTAATAAACGTGAACATGTTAAGATTTAAAAAAGCATAAATTTTTATTAATAAGCCTATACGTTTAGATTTTAGTAACGCAAATTTTAAACCGATAGAGTTTTTAAATCACTCAAAAAATAAAAATGAATAAACTGAATTTTTATCTTGCTTCTTCCAAATTTTATGTTCCGGTGTGAAAACAAAACACTGCCTAAATCTTTTATCAAATTCAACTATTACAAACATCCTCTTTAATCACTCACTGGTTAATTATTAGTTATCGTTTTATTAAAAAAAAAAAAAAACACTCTCAAATTCATTAATTTCAATCTCACAAAACGTAAAACTTACCAAAAATTAACAACGGAAAGAAAAAAAAAGAATTATAGGTTTCAGTTCCAATTTCAATTTACGTTTTTCTCAGATCCGATTTCCAGTTTTCCCACTCAATCGCATTTCCACGCCAATGAAACTTCAGCCAAACCTCCCCATTTTTAATTTGCACTTCTTGATTTCCGTTTCATAAAGGAAAATAAGTGATGATGTTCCGATTGGAGCAGGAAAAGATCCGCAAACGAATTTAATTCTCAATTCGTTCTTTGAATATTCCATTGCGAAAGTGTTGCCATGGCCGAAGCTCTCACGGTAATTCCGCCCGCCGTGCTTCGCAACCTCGCCGACAAGCTCTACGAGAAGCGCAAGAATGCAGCACTAGAGGTTTTATTTTCTCTCTTCCACAATCGTGATTTTTGTTCCTTTCCTTTTCTGTTGTTTTGAATATGGTGGGCTTTGAGTACATTGGTGTTTTTAAAGGGTTTTGTGTTATTATTATAGGTTGAGGGAATAGTGAAACAGCTTGCTTCTTCTGGGGATCATGATAAGATAAATGCTGTGATCAATTTGTTGACTACGGAATTTACTTATTCGCCACAAGCAAATCACCGCAAGGTAGTGCTAATTATTTTTTTTATCTTTAATTTGGGTTAGTTCTAGCTTGAATTTAATAATTTGAGCATTTTTTTTTAATTTAATTCAATGAAGGGAGGGTTGATAAGCTTAGCTGCGGCCACTGTTGGGTTGACTGCTGAAGCTGCTCAGCATCTCGAGGTAAGGGGCTGTCCATCACTTACTATTTTTGTCATGGATTAAATTACGCAAATTCATTTTGGTTGGTTTACCTTATAAGCTTGGTCGTGCTCACTGCGATTTAGTGGAAGAGAATGGACATGCCCTGTGTGCGATTGTGTGTGTGTGTGTGTGTGTGTGAGAGAGAGAGAGAGAGAGAGAGAGAGAGAGAGAGAGAGAGAGTATAAGGTACATTGATTACATATGTCATTAATTGTTTGGACTTGAGAATTTGCTGTTACATGAGGAAAGAATTATGGATTTCTCAAACAACTTTTTGATGCTCTTTAATTTTGGATAAATTTGATTTTATCTTGGTATTATGAGTATGGGTAGTTTGTTAAAAGGGAATGGTGTTATTTTCTGCCTATGGTTAAAAATATGTTACTCCTTATTAGTTACATTGACTGGATAAATTAAGTCAAAACTATGGATATTTTCATCCAATCAGAAGCTCTCTGGGAGATGTATTTCAAAGTTGCTATATATGGAATAAAGTTAGTTCTTTTTCAGTCTCCAAGTTGTGTATATTTAGATGTACCTATAACACTATTTGTCTTGTAATTTCATAAGCAGATATGATGACTTTTTGCCATAGTTTGGACATTATTTTGCTGCATTTTTCTAGCATCTATAGCACAAGGCATTTTAAAACCACAGCATATAAAACTGCAATTTTAAGCATGTCAGTGAATGAAATATAATAGGTGTAATTTCACTGTAGTTATTGACATTCAGCATGTTAATTACTTTTGGATACTAGTTCTCATTTTTCTGGATAAGCTAATTTTACCATGGTTCAAAATTTTAGGATCAGGTTTAAAAAGCAAAAAAGATTATTTCACCTAAAAGGATAAAATTGATGTGTGTATTCATTTTTGGCAGCTAATTGTACCCCCTGTATTAAATTCCTTTGCCGATCAAGATAGCAGAGTTCGTTATTATGCTTGTGAAGCATTATACAACATAGCGAAGGTGAAGATCTAACTTTGATTACTTATATAAACCTTTAATACCATAATGTACAATTCTCCAATGTCAATTGTGTTTTGATGCTAGGTTGTGAGAGGAGATTTTATTATATTCTTCAACCAGATCTTTGATGCCTTGTGCAAGCTTTCTGCAGACTCAGATGCCAATGTACAAAGTGCTGCTCATCTCTTAGATCGACTTGTGAAGGTATAATAAATTTCTCTTGAACTACAACAATCCTTTGGCAGATTTGCATGAGTGCATAACTGCACCTATCAGATGTTTTCTGAATATCTAATAATGATTTGAAATACTGTTCTCTTTTGATTAACTAATGATTAAATGTTACTGTATTCAAACAGGATATTGTGACTGAAAGTGATCAGTTCAGGTGCACCTTCTTACTTCTGTTCTATATGTTTTTCTCCATTACTGTATCCTTTTGTGTTTTAAATTTCAAAAGAGGTGTGGATACTGAGATCTCTGACTGATTTGTAATGCTTCATGCTTCTCCATTTTACTCTCTTGATTGTCAGTATTGAAGAATTTATACCGTTGTTGCGGGAGCGCATGAATGTATTGAATCCATTTGTTCGTCAGTTTTTGGTAGGATGGATTACTGTGTTGGACAGTGTCCCAGATATTGACATGCTGGGTTTTCTTCCTGATTTTCTTGATGGTAAGCGTATCAGTTGTAGAGTCAACTTTTAAGTTTCTATTCGCTTGACATGTTATACACAAAATCAATGTAAACCTCCTAATCTTCATTAAAATCTCAGGTTTGTTTAATATGTTGAGCGACTCAAGTCATGAAATACGTCAACAGGCTGATTCAGCTCTTTCTGAGTTTCTTCAAGAGATTAAGAATTCACCAGTAAGGCTTCTGCTAATGTATCTCTTTTTCTTTTTGTTTGAGTAGCAATTCTTTTGAATCTATTCAGACTGCAATTTTCCGCTGTTAGTTTTGGGGGAGGGTTTTGCTTTTATATGTTTCCCAGTTTTTAGGTTTCATCTATTTGCTGACTTCTTTTTGTGATGTACGAGTTTGCATAATTTTCACCTAATATGTTGAAACAAAAACAACATGTTTTGTTCATTTGTCATTTTCTGACTCGAGCAGTGCTACTCTTGAAGTCTGTAGATTATGGTCGAATGGCTGAAATACTAGTACAAAGAGCAGGTTCTCCAGATGAATTTACTAGGTTAACAGCTATCACATGGGTGAGTGATGTTGTAATGTTGGGACTTGTTAAACAAGGACGTATTGTCATCAAACTTTTGTTTAGTGTTGGTATCTAGTCAAAGGTATTATGAATTATTGCTCATTATTATTTTCCTTAAAATGTCTTTGCTTTCTTGTTTTAACAGATAAACGAGTTTGTCAAACTTGGTGGAGATCAGCTTGTTCCATATTATGCTGACATTCTTGGAGCTATTTTGCCTTGCATATCTGATAAAGAAGAGAAAATTAGAGTGGTAGGCCTACTTGAGATTTCCCTCTTTCCTCTTTATTTTTTTGGTAATTTAGCTTTTAATCCTGTGTTGTATGATGTTTAATTTTGGTGTTGCCTGCAATGGAAAGCAATGATTTAGAACTATTTTGTGCCTTATAAGGTTGCTCGGGAAATCAATGAAGAGCTACGTGCAGTCAAGGCTGATCCAGCTGAAGCATTTGATGTAGGAGCAATTCTCTCCATTGCTAGGAGGTGTAGTTTTTTCTATCCTTGGAAAATGGCTGCTTTTCAATTTGAAAATACCTGAAGTTGGCAAATGATTGAGGGTCTGTTTAGTTTAGCCAACTCTCTTGTGCACTGATTATTCTGGAGAATGATTTTGGGAATGGTTTGACTGGTTAGGCAACTATCTACTGAATGGGAGGCTACTCGAATTGAAGCTTTGCACTGGATATCAACCCTTTTATCCAGACATCGTAATGAGGTGATTTGATTGAATTCAGCTTTTATTTTGTTATATTTTGAGGATGCTATGGATATGTGGACTAAATCTACTCTTAATATGCTCCTTTGGAAACATTATGTTATTTATGTCTTATACCATGGTTAGGTTTTGATTATACATTTTCCCAGAGTTTTATTTCTATTGATTAATAATACAAGTTATTTGGCTGAAATCGGTAACTAATGCTATTTTTTCTCCTTTTATAATTTACCCCTATGTTTGAATATCAAATGATATTATGCTTTCCTTATGGTTATTCCACAAATAAGGGATCTACTATAACTTTCTTACGTGATTTAATTTATTATGGTAGAAAATGTCTTAGCCATTAAGGCAATACTTGTTTTTTTCCTTTTTTGGAAAAAAGTTTTTTTTTTAATTAGAAAATTAAAAATGTTTTAAAAAATAAAAATGTATTTTATTACTTTCCTCAGAAGTTGAAAATAGCTTTTGGAAAAAGGAAACCTTAAAAAACCGAGTCATAGAATTTTGTTTTCTAAGCTTTAACTGCCACTCCCTTGACTCAATTATGCAATTAATTTTGATGTTGTCATGGCAATCCAACTGAATAAGACAACTGTCTTTCATTACAATGAAGAACTATAGTTTTACCCCATTGGATGAGGTTCGTTATGTGGATCACATGACACCATTAGGTTTGGTTAAAGACCAAATTATTTAGGATATTATTCACTGTGTGAGAATCCTTTTAATAATTCCCTTCGTTTTCTTTTTTAGTTTTCCTCAATTGCCTTTAAATAATTCCCTTAATTATCTAGGATATCTTTTCCTTTTGTTGCAAACCTTTTTCCCCCTTATATCTGCTCCTTTACATTATTACTTTTTCAATTTGCATGGAATATTTTGTTATTGTGTGATTCCGTTATGTCCATACTCACTATTGGCTTTCCTTGTCTGAAATAGGTTTTGACATATCTAAATGACATATTTGATACCCTACTCAAAGCACTTTCAGATTCATCTGATGAGGTAGTGTCCCGGTGATAGCCTTTTGTTTCTAGTTTTTCATTAAATCTTATAATTTAATTATTATAATCTTTGTGCAAATGTCTAATGAAGTTGTGGTTCTACCTTTACATTAATAATGTCTGTCAAAAATATTACACAGATAAGTTATAGTACATACATATCGTTTCAACTTAAACAATCACAAGTTGAGATGCTAAATTGCTAACCACCTAACTCTGTTTTTTGGAGTGACCTAGGATTTCTTTCTCTAATACTTTTTCCAGCCCTTTATGGTTACAATAATAAGAAACATAGACTCACTTTTAGGTGTATTAGTAGTTAAACTCCTTTTATATCCTTAATTTGTTATGAAATCTATTAATGAAGCACCCACCCATTCCCTCTGCAAGTGGATGTATTCATTGGTGGGAAAAGTTATCTTAAGTTATGTATAGTTTGGTCATTATCTAATTTTGAATTTGTGGTCATACCAATTGAGTAATTACTTGGGGGATCTGACCAATTCTTTCTATCTTTGGCTTGATTTTTAAAATATTTGACAGGATAAAAAAGTGGTATTTTTGGACTTTCCCTTGTATGCTATTTGTATAATTTGGGGAATCAATAATTCACTTGAATTGTCCTTGATTTATTTCAATTTGGTAATATTAAATAGGTTGTGCTTCTAGTTCTTGATGTTCATGCATGCATTGCAAGAGATCCTCACCACTTCCGGCAGCTTGTTGTTTTTCTAGTGCACAATTTCCAAATAGATAATTCTCTTTTGGAGAAGTAAGCTATTTTCCTTTATCCTATGAATTCTTCTAGGTATAGTTTGCTAAAATAAGTTCGTACTACTAATATGCACTTTTTCATTCATTAAAATTTTAATTTTATATTACAAATTCCAGGCGTGGTGCTTTGATAATCCGTCGCCTTTGTGTTCTTTTGAATGCTGAGAGAGTCTATCGTGAGCTTTCTGCAATATTAGAAGGAGAATCTGATTTGGATTTTGCTTCGATTATGGTTCAGGTTTGTGACTTTTCAAAGTGTTAAACAGTGATTGCCGTGGATTTTCTTGTTTTTATTGGGATTCAATTGGTTTTATTCAGTCTTACACATCTCAAATATGGGAAATGTGGATTTACTGAGCATTCATGTTTTAACAGACAAGACCGACCCATAATTTGATCCTCCAATACATGTCACCACATTAACATTAAACAGTTTTTCCAATAATTAGTTTCTAAAAGATTCTTTTGTTGCAAAATTAGTCCCCCAAGATTTTAAGTTGTTTCTAAATCCCTCAAAAAAATTCCTTTTTATCAAAGGTTTAATCCTCCATAAAGACTAATAAGAGTGACCTTTTAGGTTTTTCCTTTAATCTATCATTAGACTATACCTTCAAATATTCTTATTTTGAATCATTTTAGTCCTCCATAACGACCAATATTATGACATTTTAGATCTTGAGGGATTAGTTAGGGGACATATTAATCTTTTAAAGCTCTATATTGGAAACAATCTTTAGAGGTCTAATATTGTGGTAATTTTAATTTTAATCTGAGTCACTAAATTGTTGGCACTAATTTTTTTATAAAACTATGAAGTGACTCATTACTTTGGAGTACTAAACTGATGGATCTTAGTTTTTAAAAATATATATTTTCCTGTAATGGAATTTGAAGCTTGAGATTCCAAAGGTCAAAGCTACTGCTTTTTGGTAGGAAAATGTTTTAATTTTTTTTTCCAATAATGTTCAATGTAGGCTTCAATCTATTTATTGGAATTGAAGTTAATAACTGATATAAAAGTATAACTTCGTAGGTGATGTGGGGAACAACAGTTGTAGGACACTATTATCAATATTATAATTTTGTTGGTTGTTGCGTTTTTGTTCCATTGTTGTATTTCTTTTTCTTTTTCTTTAGTCTGAAGGATAAACTGTTCTATGAAATGAAGCAGTCTTCATCTGCATTTATTTTTCCCCTTTCTATAATATTTCAGGCTTTGAATTTGATCTTACTTACATCATCAGAATTATCTGAGATGCGAGATCTTTTGAAGCAATCACTGGTAAATCCGGCAGGGAAGGACCTATATATTTCTCTGTATGCCTCGTGGTGTCATTCTCCAATGGCAATTATAAGTCTATGTTTTTTAGCTCAGGTAAGTCTGTATAACGAGATTCTGATTATTTGTTGCCACTTCGGGTTTCTTTCTTTCTCTAGCAAGTGCACAAATGCTGCACACACACGTTGTAAACAATTTCTTTTTGTGGATACTAGCTTTAGTAATATTTGGATTACACAATTCTTTTCGGTAAAATAATATTTGTATCTTCCTGAACAGACTTACCAACATGCCAGTGCTGTGATTCAGTCACTGGTGGAAGAGGATATTAATGTCAAATTTTTTGTCCAATTGGATAAATTGATCCGCTTGATGGAAATGCCAATCTTTGCTTATCTTCGATTGCAGGTGTGTAATTAAAACATGTTTAGTATATTTTGTATCTTAAGTCTTGTAATAACATTTTGTACTTAATTTGGTAAAATATGATGGATATGTTATAGAAACAAAGAAAAGTTTCAGATGGAGGAAACTAAAGAGGATAATATAGACACGGAATCAATTGTTAATCACATTGATAGACTGAGAGTTCAACTATCAGTTACAGAGTGTAACAGACTGAACAACTGGCTAACAAACTGAACAATTGACTAAGCTTACCAGAGCAGATAGATTCTATATCTCTAATAATATGGAGTTGTTCAATGATATATTATGTTTATTATTACTTATAAACAATTACTTTATTCCCATATATGATAGTTTTTCTTTAGATTTCACTTATCTTACCACAATCCAAATACTGAATGGTTCTTGTTTGGATCAACTTCCATTAAGCATATAATACCCGAGAAAAGTATTTCTGATGCAGTCAATTTTTGTTTTTAACTTTAAAGATGAAGGTTAAAATATTAGTAGAACGAGTTATCTAATGGGCATTATTTGTATAATTTATCTACTCTGTTTATCCTGTTTGATGAGCATTCCATGTAAAAAAGGGGTAAGGTAACTACTAAATATTATCTATTGAGTATGAAAGGATAGATACTCAGAAAGAGCTTTGCTGGTGTATATATTTATATATATATATATATATATATATAACATTTTAATTACAGATCCCATTTTTGCAATTGGTTTACTATGCTATACCCCACTCTTATGATTTAACTTATCACTACAATTGTAATTGTATCCATATAAAATTCTTTGTGATATGGAACCCCTTCACTGGGTTTTTGGCTTCCCTTTTAAGGAAAGGAAAAAGATGTAATGCAACAGTTGTTATAATTTTAAAGCCTGGTTTTCTATAAATATAATAAAATCATATATAGGAATTGTTAAGGTTCCAACATAAAACCAATTGGCTATATGTGGAGTAGCCTAACATGTATTTAAACCATATCAAATGACATGAGGTAGGCGATGTGAGACTTCCAACACACCCCCTCCAATGAAGCTTGCCGGACCAGACAAAGGGTACTTTTTGACCCAACGAAAGGACAACTTTTGGCCCAAGACAACAACCGGAAAGATATTAGGCTTTGACTCTGATACCATGTTAAGGTTCCAACATAAAACCAATTGGCTATATGTGAAGTAGTCTAACATGTATTTAAACCATACTAAATGACATGAGGTAGGCGATGTAGGACTTCCAACAAGAATATTTAATGTGGTTCTCAATCCCTTTGTAGTCCCTTTTTACACTAGTCATGTGCTGTTCCTCATGTTAGTTTTTCCATTTCTTCATTGCATTTGATATGGGTAATTTTCTCTTACCAGAGATTGTGGTAAGGGATAATTAAGTTTTAAGTGGTTTCTCTCAAGGGCTGATGTCATTGTTTTGCAGCTTCTTGACCCTGGAAGATATATTTGGTTATTCAAGGCATTGTATGGTCTTCTGATGTTGCTTCCTCAGGTATCTGCAAAAAATTTTGCCTATTGAGAAGTTTTTTCCGTGTATGAATGGGATGTGTTAAAAAAATATTGTACTTTATTTCCTTATTTTTACAGTTTCCTTTTTTCCAATTTAGGATTTTGTTCCTTGATAATAAGATGTCTGAGAAAATGTAAATCTTGAGACATAAATCAATAAAAACAGTATCTTTTTTAACATGGAATCAGAGCTCATGATACTTCAGAGCTTTGTTTTTGTGCTGCCCAACGAGGAACAATATTGCTACCCTCCCAATCTTTTATCCCAAGTTTGCATAACCTGCAGGCTAAACGGGTTTAACCTATAGAGACTGGAAATTACCTGCACTCACAATCCAATATAAAAATATTGTCTTTAAAATTTAAATTAAAAAGTTTAATATATTTTAAATCTTAGATATTTACTATATATCATTATTGTATTGTAGATGAAGTGAACAAATATTTTAAGAGTGAAAATTTGGAAGAGCCAACAAAACCATTAATGAGATCAAACATTATTAGTTGAAAGTTTATGTTATTTTGTATTTTGTTATGTAATTTAATGTTCTGTACCCTTTCTATTCAGATTTAAACTTTGGATGTTAGTTGGATTAAACTTAGTTTTTGGACCCTTAAATATGTTTAGTAATTATATTTTCATTGAGGAAAAAAAAATTGTAGTATGTGGACTGAACCATATAGTCCGCAAGTTTTTCGAGGTGGTGGCAGTTTGCAAAAATAAATGAGACCTGTTTAAGTTGGGCTAAATGAGTGGACTGTTTTCAGTGTAGGTTTTTGCGGTTGCCAGCTTAAACGGGTGGGGCAGCCTGTATATCCACTCTCATTCTTGATGACCTCAAAATTAAGTTTGAGATCCCTATAATGTTATTTTGTGATAACAAGTCAGCCATTAGTATTGCTCACAATCCAGTTCAGCACAACAGGACCAAACACAAGATTGACAGACACCTCATCTAAGAGACAGTGGTCTTATTGTTACAACCCATGTTCCTACCAGACTCCAAGTGATTATGTTCTTACCAAGGGCCCCTCCTACTAGTAACTTCCAGGAGCCTATAGGCAAGTTGAGAGGGATTGGTGTTCATTTACCAAGATGAGGGGGAGTGTTGTTAATACTAAAATATCTAAGGAGATTAAAGATATTGTACATTATTTCCTTATTTTGACAGTTCCATTATTTCCTATTTTAATGATTGATAAAATGTATTTCGTGTGTAGAAATGAATAAAGATAGTATCTTTTTCAAATTTCTTTACATCGTCTCAGTAGTATATATTTTTTTTTCCTGGAGATATTTGTCTGGCCTTATTGTGATCTTCATCATAACTACTATTGTTGAATGCTCATATTGTTTCTTAGACAAGACGATTTTCAGGATTACATGCTTTGATATTCATATTAACTCTTTTAGTACTATTATGCAGCAAAGTGCCGCCTTTAAGATACTAAAAACTCGTTTAAAAGGTGTGCCATCGTATTCATTTAATGGTGAGCAATTGAAGAGAATGCCTTCTGGGGATCCCTACCAATTTCACAACGTGCCTGATGGATTTCGAACCATTGAGGATGGTAATGTAGTCGAAGATGGTGGGAGCTCAGGTAATGGAATGAATTTTGCTGCCAGGCTACAACAATTTCAGCAAATGCAGCACGAGCATCGGGTGCTTGCCAAAACACAAACAAAGTCACGCAATATTTCCACTTCATCGTCAAAGGTTCCTGACCTCTTTATTCTGCATGTTGATTTTGTATTTTTTGTTTTTATGTTTGTTTCACATAAACTATTGGGTAAAAATTCATAGAATGAAGAGAATATTTGAAATGGAGAAGAAGAGGAGATGGTGCCTGATTTATAATCTCTTTACATAGTATATTTTCCTTGTGTATTAGTTTTGTCATAATTTGAGCTATGCTTCTGTTTTGTTCAGTTTTTTTATGTTAGTGTTAACACTACATGTAGGAAGCACAAAGAGAGGAAGAACCAAGAAGACCTCAGTCTATTGAACTTCCTCCTTCAAGATCATCAAAGAGAGGTCCAGGGCAGCTACAATTATAATTTTAATATTGCTTCTGCTCATTGAGTCTAATCTAGAGTATGTGAACTTTGAAGGGGTTGGGTATGATCTGTAAAATTGTAAATCATAGTAGCTCGTTTTATTCCACACTTGTTATAGAAGCTGGGATGGTAAAAAATGATTTATGAATCAAGATAAGCCTGGGCTTTTCGTAGGCTATTCTTTTGACTTTGTACAACGTCATACCCACGTGGTTCTGTTATTTTTTCAAATTATAACCATGTGGGCTAGAGGGAGATATTTGATTTAGTAAAATATCTTTTCTGCCTGTTTATCAAACATAATAATGGATTAGCTACTTCACCAAGAAACTGCACAATGGGCTAAATGTAATTAAGAGTTGTATATATTTATAGCATTTGGTTTAATATCTTGACATTTAGTCTTGTAAATGCCTGTTTAATTTTGGTGAACAAATACAATTTTTCTATATGAAAAGATGAAACTAACCTTCACTGTTTGCATCTTAATTTCAAATATTAGGTTAATTTGCTACAATTACCATTTTTATAAATTTCGTCTTGCTTGCTTCAAAGGAATTCGAATTTTCACCTATATTGACTTGCATTCCGTAATACTATAAACATCTTCAAGTGATTTGAAATTCAAGTCAATTCAATCATTTATACTCTTAAGCAACATTGTGTGTACTGCTTTTTCTCGCCATTCTTTGATAATTAGATTGTCTATGAATACTTGGCAATAACCTTTGTGTATTTTCCAGCATTTATTGGGTGTAGGATTCTGAAAGAGAAGGCAAGCGTGTTTTTTTTTATTATTATTATTTCTCAAATAAAAGACTGTTTTCTCACGAAAATTAAAAAAAAAAAATCTCTGCTTTGGGTGCTTTAAGTGTTGATCCGAAGTCACGATTTTACACAAAATTGGGCCACGTATGATGTAAACCAATTTTCTCCCTTTATTCTATACCCATGTCGTGACTATGAACCCTAATTTACTATTATTAGAATTTTTTTTCAGTTTTTGACATGGTATTTTCTTTTTTTGAAAGTGGTATTTTTAGTTTTTAAATCTGTGACTTTGGACTTAGATGTAACTTTTTAGCCGCTTCCAAGAATCGACGACAACTAGTGAAAGCATTAGTTGAAATATAACGGTGCTATCAAGATCCAACTTAATTTCATCATTCTTGAGTTGATCACTATTCCTTGATTGATTATGATTTGACTAGCGTCAAACTTTCCCCCTTTCTAATCATAAAATCAATAAAATAGTTTTCCATGAATTCACCGACAATTAATATCTCATACAACTATCATGATTGTTGAATTGATCACTGTCCACCGATATACTTTTCGGCTATGACTGTCCACCGGTATAAAACCAAATAAATAGTTTTTGGACTTTAAATTATGTTATTACAAAGATAACATAATAGCAAGTTTAGTTCCATTTATAGATTTATATTTGATTTACCCAAACCTTTTTCAAGTCACAACTCAAATTTCAACCAAATTTAATGCTTTTAGTTTTTCTTCCATTTCGAGTTCTTAAATTCTAATTCTGTGACCATATATTTATGGGGTTTAGTAGGGATGTATTTATATATCAAGTTATTAATCAGAAGATAACTGTGATAGTGGAATATCTAACTGTGATAGTAGGGATGTATCAAGTTTTTCTTCCATTTCGAGTTCTTAAAAAAGGTTTGTGTCAAATCAAGAAAAGTTATCGAAGATTAATAACTGTGATAGTGAAATATCAAGAATGGCTTTTTAAAAGTTATGCTTTCCCCGAAGTTTCCTCAAAGATCTGGATATATCAAATCATGTCCCCAAAAAAATTGATTAATGAAGGAACACTTCTCTTTACATTGACATGTTATTGAGAATTAGCAATATTCCACCGAAGGGTAGTTTTAATTGAATGGGTATCAATACACCCTAACTCATCAATCCTCCAAAATTCTGCTAATTGAACAGAACAGTCATCTAATCTTATACAGGCCAAAAAGTGCTGTAATGGAGTTCATACTTCAAAATGGGAAAGTAATTTGAAAAAACGCAAAAATACATCAGGAAGTACCATGAAAATAGCATGACAATGCAGATGCTTTTCGAACATGCCATTTGTTAGAAACTCTTTTACTATGTTGTAATGAAAACTATTTTTTGACTTGGATACTTTGCCAAGTATAAGTTTCAAGAGTGTATCAATAGTTATTCTTAACTAAACTCTTTTCATACACTCCTATTCATAGGATTTAACTATCTAAGAGATATGTTTCTTGGTATTAAGAATCATTATTAACTAAGAACTAAAACACATAATTACCCTTTATGAGAATGTGAATTATATACATCTTAGTTTTAATGTATGTGGTTATAAAATTAAGTGGTGTCCAAATATCTTACATTTTTGACATTTTGTGCTTGTTTCTATGTTGTTTCTAATGTTCATGTCGGAGTTTGTGTTTTATAAGTGATAGCTTTCTTGTCCAACAATATTTGAGAAGACACAAAATTACCCCATCAATGTCCTAAATAATTTTGTTTACCATATCACCTTCATAGCAGAGACAAGTCTCCCAACTATGGTTAATGCATCATAAGCTAACAAATTAAAGTCCAATCCAAACCAATTTATGGAGCAAAACCATTTTCAAAAATCTAGAGCTGGACATAAGCTCTAAACATGGCTTTCTTTCTATTTTTTTATTTATTTCCATGTACATAAATCTACACCAGACATCCGATTATCAGTCACATGTATTAGCATATCCAACCAATTTTCTTGTGCAGGAGTCAACTGCAAATTAAGCAGCTTTATCCTAGTGAGTAAAAGTAAAACATTTCACTTTCCACATGGGTGGCAGGATATCAACTCATGTTAACAAACTCACTTACAGAGCATACATCTTCTCATGATCAGAATCATAAGCATCCGCATCTGATATGTTTATTGAGTAAGACCATGAGAAAGATTTGCTTCCACTTGGTCTCTTGACTAGTCTCTGGGAATCACTGCGGAGTCCAAAATGTCGCCTAAAAACAAAGTAGCACAAGTATGCTAGTGTGCCAAGTAGAATTGGTGCTCCTAAAAGGGTGACACCAATAGCCAGCCATGTTTCCTCTCCGACCACCACAAAGCATATAGCAAGAAAAGCACCACAAGTGCAAGAACATGCAGCCCACATTAGCTTGTTAATCACTGACACAACCTGCCTTTGAGCCCTTGTATCCCAAGCCACCAAAGTGATTTGAACAACAACAACTGCAAGGGAAATGAAAAGAGCTGTAGCATTCAGAAGGCAGAAAACACTGAAGGCAACATCATCGGCTATATTTGCCTCGCCTGCCTCCGGTTGCTTCTTTCGATATTGACCAGGTAAACTGAATAAGGCCATGAATGCTATTGAGCCAAAAAGGACAGCTACTACTGTGACAGAATTAATGGTGTTCTGCACTGCCTCTCTATGAATTTTCTTCAATTCCTTGGCAATACCTGAAACTCGTCTGCGAGTCTTTTCATTCTGTATAAGCTGTGATTGCACCTCATGTTTTATATCACTAACAGCTCTTTTTAGTTCCATGGCTTCATCCACTTTCCCAATATGCCTGGCATGCTTGGCACCACATTCCGCAAGGGCCTCCTTGATTTCCAAAGCTGGATGTCCATATGGCAGTTTATCTGCCAAATCCAAGGCAGTTTCTTTCTGATTATTGATGGCATTAACATTTATAGCTGTGTAGATTAACAGAAGGCTCACTATCTGAAATAAGAAGAACCATATGTCAGTGGAGGCAGGACAAATTCATTGTAAGAGAGGCAGGCAACAAATTAGAGAGGAAAAAACAACAGCATGTATTTTGTCTATGACAGCAGGATATAAAGTATGCGTGCAAATGAACCTCTCTTACATCACATGACTGTGCGTTTGGTTTTGTGTTATGTACACACAGTTGTCTAAGAAAAAATGATGTAGAAGCTACAAATATTGTAGGTTCTGTTTGACTTGCATCCAAAAGCCTTAAACATAGAACCAATCATGCACAAAGAGTTTGGGGATAAACAATGAGTTAAAGTTGCATAGCCCATTCCTCAAAATCCAAGTTTGGCAGTGTGGTGCTATTTGACTTTTACTATTTTACTAGCATACAAAAATACGCCGTTAAGATCCCTTGCCAGGTAAACTATGACTAGAGTTTATTAATAGATGTTGGAATTGCTTCTCCATGAACTAGATTTTGCAGCATATCATTATTTACACTCCTGAGTCCAGGGCTTCAAAAAAATATGTCCTGCTGTTGGCAGCTGAAGCATCAATAATATCTCTAACTTTGAGTACAAGTATTAGGTAGTTTACAGTTTGAAAAATGCTTTGCTACAGAATGAACCTTAACTTCACAGTAGAAGTAGAGTCCTATACCTTTAAAAGCAGCGAGAGAGGGGGAGGAGACAAAGACAGTCTATAACTTAACATTTTTATCACATCTGATCAGGTGAATTCTCAATCATTTTCACCCCATGTATTTTTCATCTGGACACATTAAACAATCTTTTTTAACAAAACTCCCTATCATTCTTATGATCTTATCCCTTAAACTATTCAAAAGAGGCTGAAACTAAGTTTCTAAAAAGATAAATATTAGTAAGAGCTAAGTCAAGCTGAGCATTTAGGCTCAAGAAATGTAAGCAAATGCAAAAATAGATGTTGATACAGAATACCATGCAAGAGAGAACTGCGACTTCATCTTATTTATGGTCAAGAAACAATGAAGCTAACAAAATCACAACATCATGAAAGATTGGATGGACCAATATATACTAAAACTGAAGAAAGGTTGGAATAAAGAAAATCAACTACGGTTCATTTGACCTGTGAACGGGCTTTCCTGGTAGCCATGTGAAGAGCCGTGTTTCCCTTCTTATCTCGCTCATTCATTATCGTAAGGTCAGCTTGTAATATCTCCTCCACCACCGAAGTACTTTGTCCTTTCACAGCCATATGAAGTGCAGTTTGACCCTTTTTATCTTTGATGCAGACTATTCCAGTATCACGGGCAATCAGTGCTTTTACAATGCGAAGGATGCCATACCTAGCAGCATTATGCAATGCAGTTTTGCCATTTTTTCTTACAATCATCATTGAACTCACATCAACATCCAATATTGCATTCACTACATCCAAATGATCTTGAACAGCAGCGAAATATAGGGGACTAGTGCTGGAGGAGTCACATATCTTACAAACCTCAGGCCAAATACTCAAAATTTCCTTTACGATATCTGGACAAAGATTGACAATCAAATTTATTAGAATTGAAATCCTTATTATCATCAGCATAGCAGTGAAGTAAATATAAAATAATTGCAATGTGATAATTCTCCCTTTGTCTCCATTTGTGCATTTTTTTCTTTCCCTCGGTACCCTTCACTAAAAAATTAGAAAGTACTGTTACTGTCAAAGAGGAAACCTCCCAACAATGTTTTCTTCTTCTTCTTTTTTCATTTTAGGACCCATCAATACTATAACAGAAATTGTAGCCAGGGATTTGATAGTGTTACACGCTAGGATCAAACTACAGTCAATATCCTGAAATTTAGAAGATGTGTTACAATTTGACCTACAACACTCATGGTAAACTTGATCAATTTAAATGCATACCAACACGAGAAAATAAAATCAGCATCAAATAAGGCATACATGTAGCAATTCAAGGTTCTAGTAGAATATTTGATCCTTCTAGTTGATAAGGTGTTGAAAAAAGAAAAGAAAAGAAAAATGTTCCCTAGAAGGAGGAATATCTAGGTTTGGGAAGTGTATTCCATAATGTTATATATGGAGGTTGAAAAGGCAAACCAAAATTCTTAAAAACACCAATTTGCAAAATTTGAGAATAGGTTTGCCTCATTTTGGATAAGTAATTTTGGCAAAGCCTTTGTGAACCCTTTGGCTGATGCTACTGATGTATTGCTTTTTCATCCAAGGTAATCTTTACATTGGAAAAAGGATGGCGATTACCATGTTTGTTCAGAAAATTCCCCATTCAAAATTGATTCTTGGGAATAAGCCCTATAATATCGGAATCAAAAGAATAAAAATAAAGATTTCTATCCTTTTGAATTCCCTCTAACTTCAAGAGCTGCGAACCAAGGGAACTAAATGCATACATATACCATCATACAAAATTACCTATATCATCTTTTTAAACGGGTTTTACAGTGAATTGATTCAACAATTCTTCAACAGCAAAATCCACTACCAACTCCAAGAAATGACACGCCCAATTTAAGAGCTGAAACGGAAAAAAAAAATTGAAACCAAGGAACCAAAAAATCGAAAAGGAAAAACCTACCCAAATGGCCACGTTTGGCTGCAACGTGAAAGGCGTTCATATCAGAGTTTGCCCTGATCTTCAGCACCTCCAAGTCACACAAACCAAGCAAGAAGCTGAACACCTCAGGATGACCAATCTCAGCAGCTATATACAGCAAAGTTTCCCCTGTATCGTTCTGCATAGACATCACCTCAGAAAGCATCCCCTCTGGTGAGGCCTCCCCCTTGTAATTCTTCAGCTGCTCCTTGAGCCCTTCAAGGTCCCCACATCGAACCGCGTTGAAAACGGCTTGGTGGGTTATGAAGGTCATGGCCTTTGAGTCCATAATATCCTCTCCTGCACCAGCACCTGCACCACACAGGATTCAACTTTCACTTGTTTTCAACGTTGTTGTGCTGTGTTGTGTTGCAGTTTAAGGTTGATATGGTGTGAAGCAAGAGATAGAGAAAGAGAAGCACATGCGAACGAAGAAGAGAAGAGCGAGTATCTAAGTGGAGGAAAGGATGAGAAGTTGGCAAGAACACGGGTTTATTATTTGGTATTTATTTGTTTTGTTTTGGGATGATGGGGTCATGTTATACAGAGAATGCATGTGAGTGTGAGGGTGATGGATATTAATTTTCTATTCACTGCTATTTAGTGTCGTTTGTTTTATATGGAAGCAGATTCTTCTTCCTCCATTATTGTAAGCTACAGTAGCGGTTCCTTGTCCTGTTAAAGCTAATCTCTTCATCAAAATCGCACTTGCTTCATTCCGAAAAAACAAACTTTCATTAGTGGTCTTGTTCTTCTCTCACATTTAAAATTTCCCCTTGTTATATAATCTTTATTATGAATACATTTTCTCAAATACATTGTATATTTAATGTTTTTAAAAACAGATTGATATTTTAATAAATAAAGTAGTAGGTTTAAAGTTTAATGATTCAGTTCATCAATTAAATTTAATAAAATAATTTTTTGTAATATCATAAATTCATTAAAAATAACATTTTTTTATAAAAAGACGAAAAATAATAAAAATTATTACCACAACTATTATAATTTATAATCAAATATATAAATATAAAATATATTAAAAATATAAAGTAAATTATTGTTAAAATAAAATGAAAATATAATAAAATTATTATTATTTAAAATTAAATAATTAATAAGAGAAAAAAAATTAAAATATATATCTTTTATAAAAAAATAATCTTTAATTTTTTAACCAAAATTAATTTGACTAAAAATATATTTTTTAATAAAAATTGTTTAAGAATAAAATTAAATATTTTATTATGAGTCTTATGCTTTAAAATTTAGTCAAAGTTATTTATATAAATAATTTTCTTCTCATTTTAAGTAATTTTTTTTATTTGTAAGGAATTCAAATATAAAATTTATAATAAAATATTTATTTTTATTCTTATTATATCTTATTTTATTAAAATTTAATTATTTTAAAGTATTATAAAATAACATTGAATGATTTTATGTCAAATGACAGAAATAAATATATTGTAATGCAATTATTTGTAATATAGAAAATAAATAGTGGTTTCTCTTTTTTGAATTAAGAATTTAAAAGTAACGAATAAGATGAGATGGTTGATAGTGTATTTTGTAGAAATATAAAATTGATTATATGTAACATGAAATAAAATGATATTTTTAAATAGTAGTTTAGGAAGAGGAAAAGTAGTGAGATTTGAAAAGAAGAGAAAAAGCATATTTGACCTGAGAAGAATGAGATGCAAATGGAGGCGAACAGTTGGTGAGAGTGAAATGAAAGTGGTGGGTGAAAGAAGAAGGAGGTAACCAACATCCAAAAATAACGCGGAAATGGTTATTAATAGAGAAAAACAAAACCTGGCCACTCCTCAAAGCATACCAATAATAACACATCACAGAATCAGGTCTCTGCAAAAGAAGGACTCGTTTCTCTGAAACTCTTTGGCGTTTGTCTCCACACGCGTCCAAAAACAAAAATCATGGGGCTCAGATCTCTCTTCGGGAAGAAGAAGAAGCTGCCCAAGACCCCCTTGTCCACCACATCCTCATCCTCCACTCCATCCGCCTTCTTGTCCGTATCATCACGCACACACTCACCCTCGCTCTCATCATCACTGCACAACAATTCACGAGCCCCGTTGTCGGAGGAGCTCGAATACGTCTTCAGAAAGTTCGACGCCAATGGGGACGGAAGAATCTCCTGCTCCGAACTCGGCTCCATGATGAAGTGCCTTGGTCAGCAAGCCACTGAAGAAGAGGTTTCCAGAATGATCCAAGACGTTGATTCCGACGGGGATGGCCACATTAATCTGCAAGAGTTCATCGAGTTGAACACCAAGGGTGTGGACCCCGACGAGGTTCTGGAGAACCTCAAGGAAGCTTTTTCCATTTTTGACATCGATGGTAACGGCTCCATCACCGCCGAGGAGCTGCACATGGTGATGGCTAGCCTTGGCGACGAGTGCTCCATCGACGAGTGCCGGAAAATGATCGCTGGCGTCGACGGTGACGGCAACGGCATGATAAATTTCGAAGAGTTTAAGATCATGATGACAGGGAACATATAAATTAGTTAACTTGTTGGACTCATCAAATCAAAAGGTTCTTTTTATTTTATTTTATTTTTTCCTTTATTGTTGTTATTACGCGCTCTTCGTCTGTTCTTTCTCCTCCCCCGACAAATCAACGTGGATAGATGCGTGTGGGTGGGTTCGCGTTTGTTTCCGTTAGTTGTTTTTTGTTTATCTGAATTTCGGGGAAATTGAAGATTTCTCTATACCACATTTGCATGGTTGTTCCTTCGAATACATAACATCTTTGGTTCTCTTGTTTCGCTTCTCTTTTCTTCTCGATTTAATTTCATGAGTTTCTTCACACATGTTTTAAATTCTTTATTTTTAAACACAACAGTGATGTTTCATGCAGATGGAATGAACAGAATTTTAACACCTTTGATTCAAATTTTAAGAGACATATCAGATGAGGAATAAGAATCATGGTGATCTTCTTATCTAAATTCTTCAGATCTTAATTGCTTAATGGACTCAATTGATTTCAAGTTATATATGTATCCAATTAATTTGCCTTTTGGTTTTTCTTTCTTCTTGCATGAGAGCAACCATATTTGAGGATTTGGATTTGGTAAAACTCCCCCTAATTTTATGCCTTAAATCTGAATACCAACAAGTTTATTGGTTATTGGTTTGGGTGGCAGTGGAAGAAGTCTCAAAATACCTTAATTACCAAAACATGACTAAACAAACTTAGTGACGACCTAAATATTTTTGGTCTATGTTGTGCCCAAGTCAAACCTAGCCATGCATCGTTCCCAAGTTGCATGCCGAATATTTGCGTACCCCCCATGAACGTCCAATGCGTATACTCCAAATTTTAGTGCTTGTTAGACATGCATGGATGTAACGATATATGATCAGGTGAAAACTACATGCACTTACCTTATTAAGCAATGCACTCTGAATCAAGTTATTCGAACTTAATCATATATTGAACAGAACGATTATGAATAATACAGGTTCTACATCTAATTTTTATGCAGAAACAAAGTTCCAATTAACCAAAAACAAAATATACGTAAATGAAATGGACTAAACCGGTTAATCATAGGTGTTTTTTCGTTAAATAACTTTATGTCATAATATTACGTATTAGGTACTTACTTAGCAACATTGGATAGATAAGGTAAGGAAAAGGTTGTAAACATGGTCACTAATACACGAGGGTATTTTATAATAAGATTTAACAGTGTTTATACTAAAACCGATGTAATATAAAATGTCGTGACTCTTATATTTTAGAGGAGATACTACATTGGTTCAAGGGAAACCACCGTCTCCTCACTTATTTCATTCCCGTTAACGTTCTAACTCTGCAATGCAAGCCTTCCTGTGTCCTACGACCACCGTTTGCCCACAACTCACTGTACCACCATTTGTATTATGTCAACACTGTTTGTCACCATATCACAACCGTTTCTCTGTTTCATTTATTGTAGTTAAGCACCCAACACCTTGTCACACCCAACACCGTTGGGAGCATTGTTCATCGTTTGTGTCGCCACCACCATGTCATAATTGTTGTGTCATTGCGCTATCCACCACCGTATCACACCCAGCACCATTTGGGACCACCTTTTGGAAGCAATGTTCATAGTCTATGTCACCGCTACCGTGCCACATTTGTTGTGTCATTGCGTTGCCCACCACCGTACCACCAAACTGTCATCCACCACTGTGTTTGTCACCCTGTGTACGCCACTCCGTCGTACCTACCATTGTGTTTGAGGCACTGTACACATTATTTTTCATCTCTATTTAATATGTGACAGTTGACAATGTGATAAGTGTTTGTTGGATTGCAATTTTAGATTTTGTGTAGAATTAGAGATTAAAGATTTAATTTTGATTTAGGGATTTAATTTATAATTAGGAAGTTAGTATACAATTAGGGATTAAGGATTTAATTTAGAATTTGGGATTTAGTTTAAAAATATGGATTTAATTTAGAATTAGAGATTCTATACAATTAGGGATTTAATTTTAGAATTAGAAAAAAATACAATTAGGAATTAGGGATTTAATTTATAATTATTATAAATGTCATTATGTATAAAATAAGTTATAATGAATGTCATTACGTAGTTAGTTATGGATCGAAGTTTGATAAATTATAGTCAAATAAGTAAGTTATACGATAATGACCTTGAAGAATTTATAAAATTTGTTGAACAGTCACAAGTTGTATATAAGAATAGAAGAATTTTTTGTCCATATGTTAATTGTTTGAATGGGAGACAACTACAAGTTGAATTGATACTAAAGCATATTCTTTATGATGATTTCTTATAAAGTTATACAACCTGGACTTGGCATGGTGAATTACTAAACAATCCAAGCATGTCCAAGTGTCAATATTCTGATATGAATGTCAATAACCAACTAGAAAATATGATTCGTGAGGTCAAACAAAAATATTTTCAGCAAACCCATGTGTATAAAACCTTGAAAACTGATTTAGAGATACATTTATATCCGAGTTTTACACATTTTACACATTAATCACTAATATTACGATTGATGAATATTAAGGCAAGAAATAGGTAGATTGATAAAAGTTTTACTAAATTACTTGAATTGTTAAATGAATTGTTACCAAAAGGTAATACACCACCCACTTGTCACTATGAAGCCAATAAAATCTTATGTTCAATGGGTTTGGAGTATAAAAAAATACATGTTTATCCTAATGATGGTATATTACATAAAAGAGTTTGAAGCATTATATAATTGTCCAACGTGTGGAGTTTCACACTACAAAGTGAAAAATGATGATTGTGATGATGTTAACACAAAAAGGATCCTCTTGCAAAAGTATAGTGGTATCTTCCAATTATTTCAAGATTTAAGTTTTTGTTTGTCAATGTTAATAATTCATTGAACCTTACGTGATATGCAAATGGTAGAAGATCTAATGGATTGTTACATCATGTAATTGATTCACCACAATGGAAACAAATTGAAATGACATAAATGTGTTTGCATCATTGGTAGAAGACTTAAAATTGTTATGGGAGGAAGGAATTAATGCTTTTGATGTATATTGTAAAGATAAATTTATGTTGTGTATTTTATTATTTTGTACCATTAACGACTTTCTAACATATGAAAAAAATTTGAGTGGTTATAGTGTTAAAGGACATCATGCATGTCCTATATGTGAAGAAGAAACTAGTCACCATTAATTGAAACATGAAAAGAAGATTTCTTATATTGGTAATTATCCATACTATAGACTAAAAAATGTCTTTAATGGATGTCAAGAGGATGGAACAACTTCAAAAAAATATTATTCCTCACATATTGTCATGGGGGCTATGACTTGTTGGAGAAGGCCAAGAGGATAAATGAATCCTCCTCCAACCGAAAAGTTATGTCTCTTTCATCTCCTCCTACTCAACATGAGAAGTGAAAGATGTTTGTACTAAACCATTACATCAAATGACATGTGAGATATCTAGAGTGATCGTGGATCGAATTGTAAGTTTATGCAAAAAAAAAAAAATATATATATATATATATATATATATATATATATATATATATATAAAAGATACTAATTTTGTAAATTTGTAAGTTTAAAATAATATTATCACTAACTTTGATAATAATTTTTGTTTATATGACACATTATTTGATAAGAGTTTTTAAGGTATTTTTGTTTCTCATTAGTGTCAAAATTAAATAATATTTTTTTATAATATTTAAAACTAATTATTCGAAATAATATTAAATATAAGTATAGTATTTATGAAATTAAAGATTAAATTCATAAAAAATCAAATAATTTAAATTTATAATAATTAAATATTTGATGAGATAAAATATTATTATATTTTATTTTGATTTTTATGAATTAAGTTTTTAATTTCATAAATACTCTACTTATATAGTTAATCAAAATTAGAAGATTTTTTTACAGCAACATTTAATATTATATGTGGAAAATAGTAAAGTGTTTCTTGCTACACAAAAAGGAAAAAAATAAAAAAGAATGAGAGGAATAAGAAATCTTTGTGGAAAGATAACAAGTAAGGGAAATGGTTCCATCGAAGAAGAAAAGAAAATATCGTAATAAATTTTTTATTTGATTGATGATGCCTTGATAATTAATCAAGAAAGCTACAACCATATATATTTTCAAGAGTTCAAGTACTAAATAGCAATATACAAACATAGTCAATAAACTCAAAATAAATAAAATTGAAATATATTTTAATTATTATTATACAATTTTATTTTATTTTTTAATATTTTGTACACGCAATCAAAATCGTACCATCTTTTTAAGAAGAGAATATAGAATGGGAGTACATTGGAGACTTGATCATTTTTAAAATGATATGGCAGCAAGACTAATTTTTATCTATATTTGAGGTTATGATTTCAATTAAATAGGTTAGAGTTTAAGTGTGTACACTGTACTTTGCATAATTTTATTCGACCAGTTGAGGTCAAATTTATTTTCTTAAAGATGTTATTTAATTAAGTATTTTTTAATAATATTGTATTTTTTTCTTCAAAATTTTAAAGTTTTATTTAACAGTTTAGATGGTAAAAAAATTACTTAATACATTAAAACTATCAAAATAATATATTGAATTAATATATTATTATTATTATTATTATTTGTTATTAGTTGTTATTTTTTTATCATTTATTTATTTATTTATTTATTTATTATTATTATTATTATTATTATTATTATTATTATTATTATTATTATTATTATTATCTTTTGAGATCTTAGGACTATGTAATGGTCATTTGAGGTTGGATGACTCTACAATGATTCTTTGAGGTTATATGACTTTACGACGGTCCTTTAAAGTCGGATGACCCTTTGAGGCTGAACAACTCTACACGATGATCCTTTGAGGTCGAGCAATTCTATACGATACCCCTTTGAGGTTAGACGATTCTACACGATGACCCTTTGAGGTTGAACGACTCTATATGATGATCCTTTGAGGTCAGATGACTTTATACGATGA